AAAAGAGAGAGAGAACAAGAGAGAGTAAAAGATCTTCCATCTCCACTGGTTCATTCCCCAGTGACTGCATTGGTCAGATTTGGGCCAGACAAATCTGTATTAGTGTCATGGTGGTGGTCCAAAATCTTGCTGTTCAGAATGAGGTCTGTAGATTAGCACAACCTGTGTCTTGTAGAAATGCAGACTCTTGGGCCCGCTCGATAGCCTAGCGGCTAAGGTCCTCGCCTTGTATGTGCCAGGATCCCATGTGGGCACTGGTTCTAATCCTGGTAGCCCTGCTTCCCATCCAGCTCCCTGCTTGTGGCTTGGGAAAGGCCCAGAGGATGGCCCAGAGCTTTGGGATCCAGCACCCGTGTGGGAGACTCAGAAGAAGCTCCTGGCCTCTGGCTTCAGATCGGCACAGCACTGGTTGTTACGGTCCCTTGGGGAGTAAACCTTCGGATGGAAGATCTTCCTCTCTGTCTCTCCTTCTCTCTGTATATCTGATTTTGCAATTAAAAAGAGAAAGAAAATGAGATTTTCAGGCCACGGTCTGGACCTGATGACCTGAATGTGAACTTCTGTTTCCAGGCAATTAGTATGCACCTTAGTATGCATTTAGGAAGCATTGATCTAGAGCTCACAGTACATGCAATTCTAATATTGAAAACAAATGAATATTTCAAGTTTTGGAGCAAAAATGTTGGTGGTGCATGTTTCCCTCCCTCTGCCCCTTTATTTTTTGATTCTCTTTCATGTAAGTAAAAGTATGTTTTGTCAATAAAAATAACATAGCATCAAATTGGTTAGTGTTAGTATTGTTTACTGCATTTTCTCTTCACTGGTTCTGTGATAGATTGCACTTTCTAGTTCATAGGGTTATGTGACTATTTCATTCCTTTGAATTGTACACTTCATTCCTTTGAATTATCTGTATGAGAGCTCCACAATTCTCTTTCTTTCTAGCACAATGACAATTTTTAGGTGATGGCTGTTCTGGTAGCCTGCCTTCCTGCCTGACTCTGATGTGCAGAACATCTGTGCCAATTGTTGGTGCAAACGTGGTGTGATCAGGAAGGTGTTATGCTCAGCTGTTAACATGCTCATATCCCATTTTGGAATATATGTTTGAGTCCTGCCTCTAATACTGATTCCAGCTCCCTGCTAATATGAAGCATAGGAGATGACAGTGGTGATGTCACAGCCAGTTGATTCCTTTTACCCATGTGGGAAACCTGGATTGAGCTATGGGTCCTTGGCTTTTACCTGGTCCAGCCCTTACCGTCGTTGGCATTTGGAGGAATGAACCAAGGAATGAAATTTCTCTCTTTCTTTCTCTCTTATTCTCCCTGTCTCTCTCCCCTCCACACACACACACACACATACACACAAACACACAATGAAATAAACGATTGAAAACATTTTCTGAGGGTTGGACTTGTGTCAAGGCAAGTAAAGCTGTTGCCTGTGACAGTGACATCCCATATGAGTGCTGGTTCGATTTCCAGCTGCTCCACTTCCAACCTAGCTCCCTGCCAAATGACCTGGAAAAACAGCAAGAGATAACCCAAGTTCTTGGTTCCCTGTATTCATATGAGAAATCCAGAAGAAGCTCCTGGCTTCTGGCTTCAACCTGCTTCAGCTCTGCTAATTGTGGGCATCTGGAAAGTGAACCAATGGATGGGATACCTTTCTCTCTCTCGTTTTCTCTCTCTCTTATTCTCTTGCTCTCCCTCTGTGTTTGTCTCTGTTCATCCCTCTCTTTCTGTAACTCTGAGTTGCAAATACATAAAATCACCTTTAAAAGAAAGTTCTTAATAATTTTAAGCTCTGAAGATGTGGTTTATTATTGGGGCAAAATTACAGTCTGTCATAACATATGGTTTTATCAGATTCTTCTTACCTTTTCAGTATTTTATTTGAAAGGCAAAGAGGAGAGAGAAAGAAAGCCTTCCCATCCAGTGATTTGCTTGTCAAATGTGTGCAACAGCCAGTGGTAGGCAGCAGCCTGGAAATCAATTCATAGTCTCCCACAGGAGTGGCAGGAAACCAGGTAGCTGTGACATTGTCTGTTGCATAGCTTGAAACATAAAGCTTGATCGGAAGTGGTTCAAATCCCAGTTGTTCCGCTTTCAATCCAACTCCCACTTAATGGTCTGGGAAGACTGCAGATGATGGCCCCATCCCTAGTGTCCCTGTATCCATGTGGGATACCCCCCAAAAGCTCCTACCTCCCAGCTTCGATCTGGCCATTTTGAGGGTGAATCAGTAGCCATTTACAGCTCTGGCTGTAGTGACCGTTTAGAGGGTGAATCAGCAGATGGAGGATCTTTCTTTCTGTTTCTCCTTCTTTCTGTAAATCTGCCTTTCAAATAAAATAAATACATCTTTTAAAAATAATTTTTAAATATGATCCAATCTTTTATTTGAAGTATACAGTGTCAATAGATAAAGACAAATATCTTCTATGTGTTGATTCACTTCTCAAATGGCTACAATGTGAGGGGCTTCCTACGATCAAAGCCAGAAACCTTATATTTGATGCGGCTTTCTCCATTGGCTGCAAGGGCCTAGGTGTTTGGGCTATCATTTGCTGCCTTCCTAGGTATGATAGCGGGAAACTGTGTCTGAATTAGAGTAGTTGGAACTTCTTCCAGTGCTCCAATAGGGGATGCTGGTGTCACAAGCTCCTGGCCCCATCCTGTTTTTGTTTTATAAATAGTTGGCAGGACTTCTTTTACTTTTGCATGTAATTTTAAATAATATGTTTTAATTAAGTATTGTAGCTTCAGTATTCTTTTATGCTTATAATAGAGGTAAGCTGAATACAGGGGCTTGGCTGTACTCAGGGTACAAGGGCTGAGTATACTTGAATCATCTGGCTAAGCTTACCTTTAACAATGCTAATATCAGTGACTCACCTTGTATCAGGGCACAGCTTGGGCGCCAGGATTTTCAAAAGCTCCTGAGGTGATTCTACTTTGAAGGCAAGATTGAGAAAACACTGTTGTGAAGTACCTTAAAGGCAAGTGCAAGATGATTTTTGCTTTTGGAAAGTGGGTAATCATGGCTGTATTGAGTGGAATGATAAATCTGTTATCTCAGATCTTTTACTTAGCATAAAAGGAAATAAGTAGAATTGAGATGGTAGAATGATGTCTTGGAGTTTGTTAAAGGTCTTTTACTGAACCACAATGGGATTTAGTAAGAAAAAATATATATGCAACATATGGAGAGAGAGAGAGAGAGAGAGAGAGAGAGAGAGAGAGAGAGAGAGAATCATTCTATGGAGATTATAAATTACCCTATTATCCTATGGATGGGATAAGGGATGAAGACACACAGAATAAAGTCATTGGCTCTTCACTTAGGAAAAAACAGACACAAAAATAATTAGGGCCCAGTATGCTTAGGAAAACATTGTTTTCTAACTCCCATTGACTTTGTCTCCTACTTTCAATGTACTTTTACTGTAGAAGGGACCTTTGTTTACTCCAGTAACAAGATGTTGGACAGGAACTTATACACTCAATGGTTATCTCTCTGAGGTGTCACAGAGCCTCCAGAAGCACATGTTGCTGAATTTAATCTTTTATTTTCTTTTGTTGTGAAAAATGGTCTAGTCCATTTTGGGTTGGAATTGTGAGCTGAGTTTCATTTAGAAATGTTTTCTGTAATGTTGAAATGTTGCAAATTCCCAGAATATAATAAAAAATTGCAGTCTGCATTGTAGTGCAGTTGAACACTTCTTGAATGTGTGTGTTTCATTTTGGTGTTTGAAAACAGTGGATCTCTGTGAAGAGAGTAATCAGACAGACCAGGCTTCAAAGCTTAGGCTTTCTATTTATACGGTGTGGGGCCTTGATTTATTTAACTTAAATATCCTTGATTTCTATGTTTGGAGCATGAGGAGATAGGATATGTACTTCAAGGTTTGTTCATGAGATAAAAGATTTAAAATACTTATCAGTGCCTTTCCACAGTTAATCTATAATAAATATTTCTTTAGTTTTAATACTGAATTGTATTAGAAATTTATTGTGGTAAAACTGATACCTAATAGTAAAGCTCTAAAATTTCACTAATGCTGAATATTGCTATTATTAATGAATGTTGAGGATGAGTGGATGATTTGTGTCTTACATAGCTGAATTATCTTCTGATAATTCCCTGAAAACAATTGTTGATATCATAATGAGTTTTGTAATTTTTCATTGTGGTTAAAGGCATTTTATAAGAACGCAGAGATTCTTAAATATGATTGGGAAATTACAAAATTGATAGTATGGACTGTGCAATATTGGATGTACAGGTGTATGTATCTAGATTCATACATATTTCTACAGTGAAAATAAAAGCAAAATGCTATACAGCATGGTGAGAGTAAGCCCAGTCAAATCAGTTCATCCATGAAGTCATGCTTATTGTGCTCCTCTGTATGTCCAAGTAAGATAATTGTAGTAAAGGACTCTCCTATTTTCTGCCCTTTAAAGTTATTTTCATATTTTTAAAAGCGCAATTCAAATATGATCTACTCTATGAAGACCTTCCTCTATCTGTTTAAAGGCAGTCACTTGTGTGCACTCTCTCCAGTTGAGATCTCCTCCTGGCCCTAATTCCCTGTCTCATATTAAAAGCCGTGCTGCTGCTGTGTGTCAGGCATTGGCTCCAAGGTTGTTGGGGTTCCTGATGAACGGACTCAGACATCAGAAGACCCCTTCCCCTTTGTCTTCACTCTTTCTTTCTTTTTTTTTTTTTGTCCTTCCTGGGCTCTGGCTGAGTCAAAAAATGAGAAATGACTTTAATAAAACTTTCTGCACAAGACTACATGCTCTTTTAGGACAAAGAGCCATCACCTAATGGTTAAAAAGTTTGATAAATTGATTGAAAAGCATCATTGATTTAGCACATTTACTTTTGGTTTTATTTGGTTTTTAAAAAGAACGGTATTGGCATATATGAAAACTCTTCCATGAAAGTTATTTTCTGAATGACTCTGTTTTAAAATCTCTACAGGTACCTTCTGATCCTGTAACTTAAGTGTCTTGAAATTTGAGGATTCCACCAAGATAATATGACAGGAACGTTCAGTGACTTGGGGCCACATCCTTCTTAGGCTAATGCGGGACTTTGATTTCCTGAGAGCTTAATACAGAGGCACACACTGCTCCCACTTGGCACAGGCAGTCATGCCATCTCTGCCTCAAGACAGAGGTAAGCAAATTGGTTTAACTTGTGTTACATCATATGAAAGTGTTACAGTGCAGCATTGCTACCTTCAAAAAGGAAAGGTGTTAAATGTGAATTTGGATTCTTAAGTACCAAAATTTAAGTTTTGACTTTTTTTTTGTGGGGGAGGGAACATTTGTGTTCCTGGTTTTGGATTTTGTTATTGTTACCTCATTGATATCTGTGTGTTTCACGTTTCTTTTGAAGTTATCCAAGGCCCCTCTCCCCTGGATCTGAATACAGAATTATCTTATCAAAGCACATTGAAAAGGAAAGTCGGAAAGAAGAAAAAGAAAGGAATCATTACAGCGAATGTTGCTGGGACAAAGTTTGAAATCGGTAGGTCTTCTGGTTAATTGTGGAAAAGACAAGTGTGGTGTTGAAAACGATGCAATGTTTCAGAGACCTATCCTTCACCTACGGTCTGTAGATTCTCTGATGCCTCAGAGGGATCCTTTCTATGTGCGGTAGAGGATGATATATTTCAAAAGATGACAGTTGCTCTGTGAGCTTTCTGTTCACCAAACTGGTGATTAAGTTTTGGGAAGTTGGCGTGGAAAGGAAAACAGCTCAATACCTGATAGATCCAACTTCATCAGCTGTCTGAACTTTGACTCTCTTTGTAAAGGATTTGTGACTGCCCTGCGTGTTTGAATCTCTGAATCTAGTTTTGCACGCTATACTTACAAAACCTGGGTGTACTCAGCCTACCAAGTTTGCATACACATGGATTCACAACTTTTCAGAAAATTTATATGAAGTGAACTGATTTCATGTGTTTCCCAATATGGATTTAGAAGAGTAATGAGACTTACTACTATCTCCTCCATACTGCCTGCATTCCCCACCCACCCTCCGCCTTCCTTCCTTCTTTCTTTCTTTTTCTGATTTTTATAGTAGCATAATTTCATTTTACCTCATAATGACAGTGTTAATGCTCCACTAAGGAAAGATATCAGTGCAAGCAAGCACCCATGCACAGCAAGTAGAAAATGAAAAGAAATCCTACTATCCTTCAGGAATGTAGGCAAAGGTTATACGTAATAGTCAAATCCAAGAATGTCAGCCTCACTCAAACCCCACTGTACATGGTTCGTTATTCCTGCACAGCTGCTAGGAATTCCATTTGTATCATCAAGGCCTTCCCAGTTTCTTTGTGCTGGTCTCGGACAATCTCAGATACTGAGGACCAAGGCTACTCCTGTTCTTACTACGTACTTCTGCCACAGGTAAAGGGCTGTGCTGCTAACGTTCATGTCCTCCATGTGGGCTCTAGTTATCATTGGTGGAAGCTGAATTTTCAGGATGCCAAAGTTGCATGGTGATCTGCAGTTGATAAGAGAACAGCTCTTTTCTCAACTTGTAGGTTTATACGTTTTCCACTGGACTTTTATGCAATCTCAGGTATTGCCATGTCTCTCATGGAGACAATAAATCCAACTCCTTATCTTCTCCTTACTTCCATTGCACCCAGTCACAGTTATTTCCTTTTCTGACCATTCCAGGTACTACTGCATAAAGTTCTTTGTTTCCTCAGGCAAAATGGATCAAACACCTCTAAGTCTATGGTTATTAATGATGTATTTCATCTAAGTCATTCACACAAATGCGGGAATTTCTCCTCATCCTCATATGTTAGGGTGCTATTAAAATTTTTTTTAAAAAGACTTATATATTTACATATTTTCACTGGAAAGGCAGATTGACAGAAAGATCTTCCATCTGCTGTTTCACTCCTTAAGTGGCTGTAATGGCTGGAGCTTGGCCTATACAAAGCTAGAAGCTTCCCCTGGGGCTCTTGCATGGTGCTTGGTCCCAAGGACTTGAGCCATTCTCCTCTGTTTTCCCAAGCCACACAGGGAGGAAACTGAATGGGAAGTGCAGTAGTTGGGACACAAACCAGTGCCCATGCCAGTGCTTGAAAGTAGAGGATTAACTAGTTGAGCTATTGTGCTTGCCCTTAAAAAGAAAACATTTTAAAGTAACACACTGCTGAATAAATATACCATTGTGCTAAAGCCCAGCACTCCGATGGATCTAAAATTATCCTAAATATTTTGCTTATTTTTATTCTGTTGGAACCATAGAAACTTGAAATCCTTTGGAAGAAAAATATGAGTCTATCAATTGTAAAATGTCAGTAGATAAACTGAAAATGTGAATGTGTTAATTGTGAACCACATAAACAAGACGGCTTGTATAAGCTTTCATCTTAACGTGAGCATTTACAGTAAAACTGGAAGGTTGGAAGCATGGGAAGACAAGTACTTGTCTCTCCTGTGAATTGTGCTTTGGTATTTTACATCCTGGATAAACACAGATGACTTGTGCTAAAAATAACTTGAACTAGGGAAGTGAAAGTATAGCACAAATCTGATGAACAGGGTCTATTTTTATCATCTTTTCTTAACCTAGCTCATCACAAAAAAGCCGAGAGAGCACCCTTTTCTGAATAGAGGTGTTGTCTCAGCTGTGTTTTCACTGTTGAATAGTCACTAAATCCTTTGGCAGTTTTGTGTACCTGTTAAATCTGAGGAGACTGAAACTAAGGATTTGGGGTATAACCTAAAAACAGTCCTCAGTTCTAATGAGTATACTTTGGCCCTAGATTTAAAAAAAAAGCAAACAAGCAAAAAACAACTTATAATGTCATAACTACTAGATTTTTTAAAAAAATTAAATAATATGAACTTTAATATGTAAGAGGCAGAAAGAAAGAGAGTCACACCGAATGTTTCAGAAGTATCTATATTGAGGCTTAACTGTTTATTTGCAGTTCGTTTAGTAATAGATGAAATGGGATTTATGAAAACGCCAGATGAAGACGAAACAAGTAACCTTATATGGTGTGATTCGGCAGTTCAACAGGAGAAGATTGCAGAACTGCAAAACTATCAGGTGGGAAGCTAATCGTGACCATTTATTGGTATGATGAAAATTAAATGTTTTATTCATAATTTTCACTAGAGGGGTTCTTCATATGTTGATTATTACATTTCAGTTCTAACTCACTTGAATAGGCTGTTTGGTTGCTAAACAATTGTATTGACTCTTAGTTTGAGGACTTAGTTTTCAAATTTAACTTTAAACTTCTTTCTATCTTAAAGGAAGAATCGACAGGAAAATCTTTCTAACAGGGTGCTTTGCATTACACGTAAAGGGGTGTGATGTGGAACAGAATACGGAGGGAGATCAGGAGATGGAAATCCTTGATAATGTCAGCTATATGCTGTTACCTGGTTTCACTCCTTTATTTTTAGAATGAAGTTCAAAGTTATACTCAGAACAAAGTGGAATGCAAACTAAGAAAGCAAATACAGAGAAATTTATACATTTTGTGTAATACTTCCTTTTCTGTTAGTTTAGAAAATGAAAATTATTCATGGGGAACAAAATAATAAAAACATTATTTATAAGAATCAAGTGTTAGTCCATTTTCACCAACTTTTTTCTACACTAAGTATATTTATAAATAGAAAATAAAAAATTTGGATATTATATTATCACCTACTCATCACACACATAAAAAAATAACTCTGCTAAATGAATACACTCTTGGTTTCCTTAAAATTTTGCAATTTTGTTTTCTGATTAACACAGATTCTTAAGTTCTACAGGTTCACCGGGAATCATCTAATTTTAATTATTTTGGATTAATAACTGCCACTTTGCTAAACATAAAACTCAGAAGATGGACCTATCTGTATTATAGTATAGGTGAATTTAGCCATTGAGTTAATGGAATATTAATATTTACCTTTTTTATTTTCCAGAGGATCAACCATTTTCCAGGAATGGGGGAGATCTGTAGGAAGGATTTCTTAGCAAGAAATATGACCAAGTAATCTTTATTTTCTTACAATAGACATGTTTAAACTTTATTGTATAGATATTATGATTTTATCTTTTACAAATCCATTGAATTGAGATGTTGTTTGGGTGAAGAGAGAATTTTAGAATAAGAAGTGTTTTAAGAGTTTTGTGGTGCTAGTCTTTTGTTTGGAGAGGAGGTTACTAATTCTGAGAAATTACTATCTTGCCATATAAAGTTGATAGTGCCGCTGGATTGGAATCCCCCAAAACTCTTTATTGCAACTTGTCATCTCTTAGTGATATTAAGTTTTTGTCTTTAGCATAAATTATCCTTATGTGGTATTCAACAGATTTTTGCTTGTTTTCAGTTACATCTCACCAGAACTGTTTCTTCATTATATTTGTGTCGTGTGTTTTTATGTTTTGAATGTAGAGTGTGTGCCAGGCACTGCAGTACATGCATGTGCACACACACATACAATGAGACACATGCATGTGTGCTCATCCAGGGATATGCATGCACTAGGTTTATCTGAGACCAATGTTTAGAGCAGTAAGCTGCTTTTGTGCTATGAACTGTTAACAGGTACTCAAGTGTTTGTGTTTTTGTTCATTGCAGTTTATAATTTTATAGTTTGAGGGAGAACTTTTTTTTTAAAGAGGGCTCTCACAGCTCAATAAGTATGCAATTATGCAAATATTTTTGTATATATATTCTATGCCCTAGAGACTATAAATCTTTGAATAAACAAGGTAGATATGACCTCGTTCCTGTTTGGACCTCATGTTTCAGTAAGAAAGGAATATTTAGTTGTGTAGTAGCATTTGATGATGTTACAGTAGAGGTAGAATCAGTGTGCACTGGAGACAAATGGTTGGGGAGATCATTTTTATGAAGTCAGAGATGGCTTTTCATAGAAGTTCAAGTGCAAGATGGATATTGAGAAGTGTGTAAGAGCATGTTCTTTGAGAAAAGGCTGAGATTAGACAGACACAATGATAGAAAAAATGTGTACTATCTTGAATCAAAAGAGTGTGTTTGGTGCCTTTTAAGCAACTTCTGTGGTTATATAGGTTAAACATAAGATGATTCTGGAGGTAAATGTATAGACAAGACTTTGTATGCCATGTTATTAAAATTTGTTTCATTAATCATTCATTCGTCGTCTGCTTAGTCAATAAGTTTTCTTTTTTTTAAGATTTATTTGTTTTTATTGGAAAGTCAGATGTACAGAAAGGAGAGACAGAGAGGAAGATCTTCTGTCCAATGATTCACTCCCCAAGTGGCCGTGATAGCTGAAGCTGAGCTGATCCAGAGCCAGGAGCCAGGAGCCAGGAGCCAGGAGCTAAGAGCTTCTTCCAGGTCTCCCATGTAGGTGCAAGATGCCAAGCCTTTGGGCCGCTTTCGACTGCTTTTCCAGGCCATAAGCAGGGAACTGGAAGGGAAGTGGAGCAGCTGGGGTTAGAACTGGGGCCCATATGGGATCCTGACACATTCAAGGCAAGGACTATCTGCAAGGCTACTGCACCGGGTCTAGCCAACAAATTTTGTCTTAACAGAAATGACAAGTTGCTTTGTGAGTTTAAGCCAGAAAATAATTCTTTAGAAAATGTCACTATGGGTGATTAATTTGATGAAGGCAAAACTTTAGGGAGATTGTTTTGTGAGATATTTGTCAATATCTGGGTAAGAGATGACAAGCATCAAATAAACAAAAGAGTAATAAGAGGAATGGAAAAGAAGGAATATATTTGAAGTGCATTGTGGATTTTTAACAGATTGGATTTGACACATTACCATATCAGTATTATTTTTTACTAACATATTATTGCAAGAAGAATGGGCTTAGAGGAAAGGAGTTCCTCCTGAAGTTCTAATCCATGCTTCATTGTTTACATAACATTTATTAGGGCAAGTGTCACTATGTTCCAGACAGAGTTCTGGGCTCAGGCCTAGAGGTTGATCAAGAGCTGAGTTGGAGTTCCCACAATGTCCAACTGCAACTTTGGGTGCTGTATAGTAGAGGCACATAGTTCTAAGTTGTAAAGTCGTGAAAGAAGTCTGGCCTAGCTAGGGAGGATTGGGGGAGTTTCCCTGAGGAAGTGATGTGGAAACAACACAAAACCATTCAAGCAGGAAGAAACAGCGTGAGCCCAAGGTTATGTGAAAGAAAAAGCATAAAGCGTCAAGATGCTGAAAAAATAGCAAATGCAGCTGTAGTGCAGATGGATGGATGGATGGATGTGGAATAGGGCAGAGATTAGCTGAAGGTTGATGCTCAGAATTATGGTTCTTATCTGCAGTGCCATTGGAGAGGCATTGATTGAGGACAGAGGGCAGTGATAATATGGACAGATGTGCATTTGGAAAAGATTATTCTGGGTGATTTGTAGAGAAATAGAAAAACATGTGGTTGGGAGAAAGGTATGTGGGATGAAATTCTTAAAATGCAAATAAGCAGTTTCCTATTGTATAGTCACTGGACTTCTCCTTAAGAAAGAATTTTTTTCTAGTAAGAAGCTATGAATTTAAAATCGAAAAATAAATTTAAGTAATTTACTTATTTAGTATTATTTAGTAAATTCCGTGACAAAAGCAAGAGCTGAAGTTTTCCTGAATTTGTAAATTCATATGTAAAATTGAATGTATTTTTTTAGCTAGTTTGCTTAAAAGGAATAAGGAATTTGAATATATTTGTGCTTAGATTTTTCCAAATATGTATGTGGAAAAATACTATAACTTATAAATATCACAGTTGTTTTTAACATTTTAATGAAACATATAACTGGATCTAATTTCATGTCATTATTAAATGTATTGTAATTTATTTAAAAGTGTTGGAAACAAAAACAAGGAGATGAGCACTGGTACTGTGCTGCCTCAATCTTTCCTCTTTGGTGTGTGTGTAAGTTTCAAACAAGTCCATAGGAGCTAATTTTGTACTGACATTTTTTAGCTTCTTGGATTGATTTGTATTCTCAGATGGTGTTGGTATTTATTTCTCTTGTTGTGGTGGTAACATATTTTTCTTTGATAGACTTCTCTTAAAAGAGTACATAAAATCAGACAGCCATAAGGACCTAGAGTTGTGAAAGTCAAGGATTTGATGCATGCCATACTTTGGTCTTAGAATTCGATACAATCTGTTTATGATGGTTGCGTTTTGTTTTCTACCAGTTTATTTGGGGACAGTATCTGCTCACCAATGAAAGATGTAGATACATTTAGAAAAACAGGACTTCCTTTCAAACAGATATTTTAATAGATAATATTTAAAAATATTTCTCATGTTATTTTTTTCCTGGAATTTTGCAAGTACAAAATGGTAAACATTTGTGATAAATCAAAAGTCAATGTTTTCCAACCAGTATTATCCCTAAATTATGTTTCAAATAGGCAACCTAATTTGTAGTTGAGAAAAAAAATCAGGATATATATTGTGGCTATAAAAAGCACACACAGAGATGGTTCACATAAACAAACCTCTGTGAGTCAGAGGCTTTCACTGTGGTTTTCTCGGAAATGTAAACTCTAAAATGAAACACTGGCATTTAAGGCAATCGAAAATTACTCCACGTGGGTCACCAGGGGATTCCAAATCACCTTGGAAGCAGCAGTAAAAATGGCTGTTGACCTTGTACCATTCCCTACCCTGCACTCTCATCCTTGAGGCACAGTGACTCCTTCCGCATGGTATCTTGCCATATATATATCCATTAGTGTATCCATTCTGTTGCTTTGTAATTAACAGCACATCAATAAATCCCTTGGGATGGAGGCCATGCGAATTTACCTTAATGTCCCCAATACCTAGCACTTGATGTTAGCTGAAATACATGTTTGATGCATATATTAAGGGAAAAACTTGTCTATTTTTATTCCGCGATGTGTCTAGCACATAGTGTTGCCGGATGAGTCTGAATGTGTAAATGAAGGGATGGAGGGGATGCGAATCTCTGTGGCAAAAACAGTGCCATTAGAAAAGATCCTGTTTTGAAAGTGTGAATACAAGTAATGTGTATATTGTATGTAATTTACAGAATGATTAAGTGTCGGCCTCTGGATTATACTTTTGTCCCCCGAACGTGGATCTTCCCTGCTGAATACACTCAATTCCAGAACTATGTGAAAGAACTGAAGAAAAAACGGAAGCAGAAAACTTTCATAGTCAAACCAGCTAATGGTGCAATGGGTCATGGGTAGGTTTATTTTTACCTGGAATATGTAAAAAATTTAAAAGCTCGGAGGAAAAGAATAAATGTGGTAACTATTCGTGGATGAGTAGCACTACAAAAATGATGAAATGGCTTTCTGTTACTTTTCTGTAACTAAACACTATTATTTTAAGCTGTCCCATGGGTCTTAGTAATTAAACTTTAAAAAATGGAAACAGTAGCTTCTGAAACTTTAATTGGAGGTAACAAAGTAGAGAATACAGTTGTCTATTGATTTTTGGGAAATAAGCTTAAGAGTAAAGTCATTTGTTAATAGTGGAGCTAAACTGACTTGGAGAGTAAAGTGGGAAGAAGTTACCCTTTCCATTAAACATAATGTATATTTTCCTTGTTTTATTAATATGTTTAATCTTTAGGCAGCCATGGTGATTGAAGATGGGTAGAACACATTTTAAGCTGCAATTCCAAGAACTAAACATGTTAGTTGAAACTAAAATATTCAGCTTTTGTACTATTCTTTCCTTTGCTTGTTGTAGGCTTTTGAAATGCACATTTTCAAAGAAAAAATTGCTTTTCTTAAAATATGTTTAAGTCATCTCAAGTTTTTAATTTAAGATGTTATGGCAAAAACATTTGGAAATATACTTATTAGGTAAATTATTACTAAAATGTTTCTTTTTAACTTTCAATCATAGCTTCATTCATACATACATTATTTTAGTTTTTTAAAAGCCATCTCTGTTTCTTTTTAAGATTTTTTAGAAACATTTATTGGAAAGATACAGTTTATAAAGAAAGCCAGAGAGGGAGAGAGAGAGAAAAAGAGAGAGAGGGAAAGACAATGAGATCTGTCTGCTAATTCACTACCCAAATGACAGCCATTGTTAGAGCTTGGCTGGTTTGAAGCCAGGAGCCAGGGGCTTCTTCTGAGTCTGTCCCATGGGTGCAGAGGCCAAGCCTCTACTGTTTTCTGTGGCCATTAGTAAGGAGATGGATCTCTGTAACTCTTTCAAATAAAATAGATTTTCAAAATGGAAAAGGGAGGATCGTCATGTTGGCCTATTTTCAAGTCTTCTGATTCTGATTGTGTCTTCTCCATTTTCAATTATTCTGCTTATCAGTTTTATAGTTTTATGTTCATTTCTTTATGAAAAATTTCTGTTACCACAAATATCACTTATTTGATGAGTCATTTTTATGGTTTTATGGTTTTTTTAAATATATTTTTTCCTTTAGTTCTTATAACACATTTAAAATAGTTGATGCTCTAGTAAGAGTAAAGTTTAGGCTTCCTTGGGGAGGGTTCTGTTTGATATTTGCCTATAATTCATTTTTCCTTTTTATGCCACATCATTTTGAGTACTGTAACGTAGCAGCTTTGGAACCCAGACTCCACTCTCTGTACATTTTTTTTTTTGCTGTTGATTGTGGTTATTTTTATTTGTTTAGTGACTTTTCCGAATTTATCAAGTCGATATACATTGCTATGTATGGCTGTTGAAGTTCCTGTTCTTTTTACCTCTGTGGTTAGCTTGTAATTGGACAGAAAATCACTTAAATACGTGGGACAACAAAAAAATTATGAACAAATCATTTTGAATCTGCTAAATAAGAATTAAAAGTGAAAACTAAAAAAGTAAAAAATGAGGTATGATTAAAGTCTCCCAGTCTTCGCTGATGGGCTGTGTGTGTTGCACAGATGGTGTACAATTCTGCCTTGGCTCTCACCTCCCACGTGCACAGAGCATTATGATCGAGCATAGAGGTTGATTCTGAGTCGCCTCGCCCTTACCACACAACCGACCAAGTCTTAGGTTCTCCAGAGCATATAAAATATTTTGAAATGCCCATGGGTTATTATTTCCCAGTCTTTCAGTTTCTTTAGTTAATCTGCTATTATTACAGCTGTCATTTGGTGTCCTAGAAAGTAGGGACTGGTATGTTAACCTTTAAATGTTTCTAACAATTTGACCTCAAGCTGCCTCAACATTGGTGGGGTTCTGAGTTGGGCTAGATAAAAGAAACCCTTTGAAATTCTCTAGCAAGACCCAGACCAATCCAAAAAATCACAAAAACAGCATTTTGCCCCTTCCAGAACGAATACCCGTGAGTCATTTAATGCCACCACAGAGCTCTTGTACACAGATTTACCTGTCCCTTTTTTGATTAAGTGGTTTTGGTTGATGCCAACTTTTAGTTTTTGAGTTGCCAAAAATTGATTCTGATGAATAATGAGATGTATTAATTTTTTTATGGGGGAAAGAGGAAGATCTCATCTTTTGCTATCTGCTCCTATCTGCTGATTCAATTACCTGACCATATTGGTTAGGACTGGCTCAAGGAGAAGCTGGAAGGGAGGGATTCAATTCAGGTCTCCCTGTAGGGGTGGCCTGGATCCAACTATTTGAGCTGCCATCACCTGTTGTCTCCTAGGGTTTGCGTTGACAGGAAGATGGAATGGGGAGCCAGACCTGTGACTCAGATCCGGACATTCTGATAAAGGACATGGATGTTTCACTTTGTGTTTTAATTGGAGGGCCAAACACCCACTCCTCTTTGACAGTTGTTTTAGTTATCTATTGCTTTTGTCAGGGTACAGACTCTGGACTTTCTCTACTCTACAATTTTCCTTGTGAATATATGTATAATTTTATAAACCTCTCTACTCTTTATCAAATTATTATTTTTTACTTTTCTTTAAACATAGGATATCTTTGATAAGAAATGGTGACAAACTTCCATCTCAGGATCATTTAATTGTTCAAGAGTATATCGAAAAACCTTTCCTAATGGAAGGTTACAAGTTTGATTTGCGGATATATATTCTGATAACATCATGTGATCCATTAAAAATATTTCTCTATCATGATGGGCTTGTACGCATGGGAACAGAGAAGTATATTCCACCCAATGAGTCCAATTTGGTAAGTGACACTGTTAAACTTTATGTTTTCATTTGTTTTTCAACATGTACTTGAACTTATTTATTTGTACTTCTTTGTTGCTGGGTCGACATAGATAGATTGATGTATAAAGAGATAGAGACACGTAGAGAATGCACACTGTCATCCATTGCTTCACTCTCCAAGGCCCACTAATGAGGGGATCTCTAGATTCCAACATGGGTGGAAGGAACACCTGGATTAACAAGAAGCTAAAACCAGGACTAGGAGCCAGTATTAGAATCCGGGTATGCTTATGTGAGATCTAGGCATCCTGGTCCCTGGGTTAGCCGCTGGGTCAAACACTTGCTCCAGCACACACATTATATATGCAAAGATGTGTGGGCCAAAGTTTTCCTTTTCAGAATTTTCAAATCTGGAAGGATCATGCTCAAACAAGATTGCTTTAATCCACAGGCAGTTTTATAAAAATTAAAGGTGGTGTCTGTTCGATGCTGTCTATTTAGGAAAAAGTACCACATTAGCGCCAGTACTTTGAGCACAAGCCTTTGTTTCAAAGCACACATTTGTTTGCAGTAGCCCTCCATAGAAATGACTGTAGTACAAATAGAGGTAATATTACATAAAGATGCGAAGATACACGATAATGGGGCTAAATGCGGCGACGGTTGTATTTACCTCCTGCTCATGAAGGAAGTGGCATTTGAGCAGGATGAGCATGTTGAATGTGGGAGAAGACCTGTGAAGCAGAAAAAGCTACAGTTGTCAAAAATAGTTATTCGTTTTTGTTAAAATAGGAGGAAGATCAGTTTACACTGAGTTGATGTGAATTTGAGATTTAAATAAGCCATTTCAGCATACATTTTAAAATCTTTCATATAAAGATTTTTGTAGTATTTTTCTATTAGTAGCTCCTTTGTGAAGCCATAGTATGTTTATGAAAACTGTAACTAATTTACCACAGAAATCACAAAATACAATTTGTAGTTTGTAAAAGTCAAATTGTATTTATTGTTTATATTTAGAAATTTAGCTAACCTTTAGCCCTATTTTTAGAACAGCTAACTATAATGAAAATTATAATTATTGTTTCTCAAATTGTCAAAGGTTGTTCCTTCAATATTGTATACATCCATTTAATTTAATTGAGAGTGTTGTTTAAAAAAATGACTGGATGATAAACATGGCTGTGGTCAGAAAACTGGAAAATGTTTTAAACTTGACAAAGGAAGAATAAGGGAATTGTCAAACTTCTCATAGAAATGGAAGTTAAAATAAGCATCTCACAAGATGTGGATGTATCCAATCACCAAGTGATGTTTGAACACTACTACATTCGAGGCTATGTACTAGTTTTGGAGAAACATTGACCCAAGTCAGACTTGACTACACAGAAGGAACAGTCTAAGAGGGGGGCAGGAAGTAAAGTGAGCAATTATAATCCCTAATGGTCAGGGTGATGGTTTGAGAAACTGCAAGTACCCTGGCAGTGCAAAGCAGGGGCACCTAACCCCGTTGGAAGTAACAGCTAGATAAGGAGTTTATACACTGAGCTTTTAATAAGGAGTAGTTAGGCAGACTTGGGACAGACAATGGTGTCAGAGGTAGGAAAGCAGGTGAGTTCAGCTGGGCTCCAGGACAGCCTGAGAAGATGTGACTGTTCAGAGACAAGGCCAGGGGGTTTCTGGGAGCCAGAGCTTGCAAGGCTTTGTAGGCTATTTCTAGAGTTTAGTAATCTGACCCAAGTTGAATGGAATCCCTGACAGGTTCTAATCAAAGGAATGAGATTTATGTTTCTAAAAGCTCATCTGTTTACAGCGCAGGCAATGGGAATGAGGGTGGAGGCAGATGGAAAAGACTGGAGTAGAGTAAATATTTGGTTGTTTTCCAATCTGACCACATATGGAAAATGACAGAAATAGAACAACTAGCAGTAAGGCTAAGAGAAGAATAACAAGATAGGCCTGAGAAATACTTAAGGTAATATGGGAAAACTAAGGTAATAAGGTAAAATGGTGTGATGGTGACATGCTGGGTTTGTGGATAAAGGAAAAAGGAAGGCGGAAATCAAGGGTGAAGCTCAGAATTGTGGCACAGTGAGTGCGGTACAAAGGGGTGTTACTCTCTGTGGAAAGGGAATATAGAAGCTCTTGAAAGTTTTGTGGAAAGTTTCTGTGTTTGGTTTAAATGTGTGTGTATGTGTGTGTTTATGTGTGTCCTCCCAGTGGATCTATGTTCTGAAGATACTTGGATATAGAGTATAGGTGTGAGGCTCAGAAGAGGGATCTGGGCTAGGTGTATAATTTGGGACTTGCTAACTAATAGATTATAATTAAAATAATTGGCAAGTAAGAATGGACTGTGTATATTCAAAGCAGTCATAATTTTTGGTAGTATTTAGGAGCTCTTTAAGTGATCAAGTGTTTTAGTCTAATCTCGAAATTAGATATTTGTTAATTTGCTGAAGTATAGCGGATTAAGAAATCATCACATGAACTTTTGGCTTTGGTTACCACGTATATAGAAAAGCACATTCTCATAAAGAAATGACAGTTTTTCTTCTGTATCTCTATAATTTTTTTTAAAGATTTATTCATTTTTATTACAAAGTCAGATATACAGAGAGGAGGAGAGACAGAGAGATCTTCCTTTCAATGTTTCACTCCCCAAGTGAGCAGTAATGGCCAATGCTATGCCTATCCGAAGCCAGGAACCAGGAACTTCTTCCGGGTGCGGGGTCCCAAAGCTTTGGGCCATCCTCGACTGCTTTCCCAGGCCACAGGCAGGGAGCTGGTTGGAAAGTGGGGCCGCCGGGATTAGAACCGGCACCCATATGGGATCCTGGCACATTCAAGGCGAGGACTTTAGCTGCTAGGCCACTGGGCCATGTATCTCTATAATTTGATGATTGAATTCCCAGAAGGAGACATGGAAAATTAAAACTTTTATGTAAAGTGAGACAACAATTTTATAAAGGGTAAGCTTAAGAAAATAATTGAAAATAAATAAAACTGCTCTTATTGCTTGTTTTTATGTGGTAGACAGCAACATAATTATGCCCTTTTTTATTTCCAGTTGTTAAAATAGTGGCCATCTATTTTATATAACAAGCTATGCATTTCTACAAAAATTAAATTGTCACAAATCACATGCAAAGGTGTATCTAGAAGTTTGTGGAATAATGGAATTAGAAGATAAATTTATTTTGGTTTAAAAATTAAATACAAATATTTGTAGTCAAAAGTTCATGAAAATAAATATGAAAAATGCAAGGATTTAAAAATGCACAAAAATAACTTATTTTTAATTTCATTTTGCTAAAAAACTTTGATATTCTCTCAATAAGGAGGTTACAAGACAAAACATTTCAAACATTAATAAATAATAAACATTATTTTTTCCTGCCAATATAGTGATTGGCCAATCCTTGAAAAGTATTGTATGAATAAACTCACCGTGTTTATCATATAAATTGGAGAACAGAATGGGACATGGCCATATAAATTTTATACTTTGCAGGTGTGCTATATGGTTCTCTGTTGCCTTCACTTCTGCTTCTAGCAAATGATCCACTGGCAGTGAATTGTTCAGATTAAAAGCATTTTGTCAAGTTAAATATAACACAGAAATTTCCAATCCCACGTACAAAGAGAATGTTTTAAGAAAATTGCAAAGTCTCATTCCGTACTTAATCGGAATAGCTGGTACATTTTCATCACAAGTATTAATTTAAATAAATTATTTCCAAATGGAGACTTAAAAATTATTTACTTATTTGAAAGCCAGAGTCAGAGAGAGAGAGATCAAGAGAGAAACAGAGATTCTCCTTCTATTGGTTTACTCCCCGAATGACTACAGCAACCTGGGATAAGGCCAGGTTGAAACCAGGAACTAGGGGCTTCATTCAGGTCTCCTGCCTGGGTGGCAGAGGCCAGAACATTTGAGCCATCTTCCGTAGCTTTTCTCTTGTACATTTACAGAGAGTTGGATCAGAAGTGGAGCAGCTGGGACACGAAGTAGTGTCCACATGCTGCCAAGAACTCTCCAAAAATTATTTTCCTACCAGATCTTAAAGACATATTTATATTTTGAAATTAGAAAGTGTTATACTTTCATTAATATTTTTTTCTTAAAATAAGGCAAGCATAACATTTATGTTCTTTTAAGTATCCTTTAATTTGAAGAATTTTGGAAATTTCATGAGGGTGGAGTCTGTGTGTGTCTGTCTTGTTCGTCTTTTGTACCTACAGGGGCCAGCACCGATTCTTGCTTACAGTGAGTGCTCCTTCAGTACTGTCTATGGAATGAAAAAATGTATCAATTGTTAATGGTACACGCATGTGTTAATCATCAACATATAACTCAAATGATCGTTTCTGCTTATTTCCTTCAAAGATTTCAATATCTAGACCTAAGGCACTCTATTGAAAATTAAAAAGTGACATGTGCATAGTTGGCTTAAGAAATCAAAATAGTAACCATATGAGTGAAGTTCATTTGTTATGGTAGAACATTGCTGTCTAAATAAATCTTTGTGAGAAGGATTGGGAGAAGGGTATGAATTAAAGACTTGAAGAATGTTTATGCTAGCTTGATAAGGAGGCAGTACAATGTTTATCCTATGATAGTTATGAGAAGTTTCAAATTTTGGATTCTTTTTATAGTTTATTTAAGGGAAACAGCATCAACAAACACAAGAATGTAGACTAAAAGATAAAAGTCCAACATGAAGTGATATACGCTGTTAGCATCAAGATCCTGTGGACATCTGTTCAGCACTGGGTGTGTCTTGTGCTGGCTGCCTGCCTGCACCGTGTCCTGTTAATAAGAATAAGGCACGCTTCTACTCAGTATGGGAGTGAAGAGGTTCCGTTTTGGTGTGCCTTCTCCTTGTTTATTCAATTGACATGCATTTTTATTTTTCTCATTTTTCTTTGCAAAGACATAAAATGGTCCTGTTAAAAATTCATTTTTTGAAAGCAGATTTGGGTAAAAGCTTTGAGGGCCCAAAATACTAAAACCAAACAGACTAGCCGGAACAAACTCAGTGCAGTGTTCTCGCTTGGCAGGGCATAGTCTCACATTCTAATTTATTCCCTATAGTCTTACTCATTTGATTTTTAGAATTCCTTTTTCAAGATTTATTTATTTTTATTGCAAATAAAATAAAGGAGGAGAGGCAGAGAGGAAGATCTTCTGTCCCATGACTCACTCCCCAAGTGACCACAAAGGCCAGTGCTGCGCTGATCTGAAGCCAGGAGCCTGGAACTTCCTCCAAATCTCCCACCTGGGTGCAGGGTCCCAAGGCTCTGGGCCATTCTTAACTGCTTTCCCAGGCCACAAGCAGAGAGCTGGATGGGAAGTTGAGCTGCCAGGATTAGAACCAGTGCCCATATGGAATCCTGGCGCGTTCAGGGCGAGGACTTTAGCTGCTAACCCACCACGCTGGGCCCACTCATTTGATTTTTGTCTGATGGACATATTCACTATAGAAAGCAACACTGTGAATGATTACATTCGCAATTCTCCCAAAGAAATATGCCGTCTCACTCCATTGGAAAATAAACGTGATGTTGTCCATCTGTATAGTTTGAATTTTAAAACTGTGGTCTTTGGCTGGCTTCTTTTCTGAGACCTCGTAGTTCTAGAATCACATAGGTGGCCATGATTCTGTTCTTTGTCACAGACCCAGCTGTACATGCATCTCACAAACTACTCTGTCAACAAGCATAATGAACATTTTGAACGGGACGAGACTGAAAACAAAGGCAGCAAACGTTCCATCAAGTGGTTTACGGAATTCCTACAAGCAAATCAACATGACGTTGCTAAGTTTTGGAGTGACATTTCTGTAAGTTATACCCTTCCACAATTATAGCCATCTTTTCTCAGCATTAATTTAACATTTAAAAATATTTTCTTTTTAAAAATTATTTGAGTGAGTTACAGAGAGGGAAATAAACAGAGTTGAAGGGGAGGGAGAAGGAAGGAGAGAGAGAGAGAGAAAGAATATGAGAAAGAAAAAAGAAGGAAAGAGAGGGAGAGACAGAGTATTAGAAAGAAAAAGAGAGAGAAGGAGAGACAGAGATAGACACACAGAGAGAGTGTGTGTGTGTTGGTATGTACCGGCTCACTCCCTAGGTGGTTGCAGTGGCCAGGGCTAGGCCACGCTTGAAACTAGGAGCCAGGAGATTTCTTCTGGGTCTTTTTCTTCTTTCTTCAGGGGCCAAAACCTACCTAACCCATTTCTTGCTGCCTTTCCCAGGCGTTATCAGGGAGCTAGATTGGAAATGGAGCACCTGAGACATGAACCACAGAAGTGACTTTATCTTCCTAGTCACAGTGCTGCCTCATACTACCAAGCATTGTGAATAAAGAACACGTTACGTTGGTTTGAACAAATTAAGGACATTGTTATGTAGGGAAATACAATAGTTCTTGATCATTAGGAATTTTACTGCTAGGGGAGGGAGAGAAGTAATTTTAGGTAGAGGCGAAAGCTTCAGTAAAAACATGGAGGTATCTGAATTACAAGTGATGCAGGTGGTCACATGTGGTTTGTGAAAAACTTGTGAGGATGTAAGACTGGGAACTTTAAAACTGCAAAGAAGGGCTGAAAACAAGGAGAGTGATATGACCCACACTGTGACTGAGAAGAAAAACCTGCAAATGGGGACAGGAAGACCAGGAGTGGCTAGAGAGAGTGCATGGGAAACTACTTTAATTTAAGCTAAAAGACTGTCCTGAGTTGAACAGGTTCTTGAAGAGGGGACGACGCAAGGAGGAAGCTAAGATACGTTTTTTGAAAGCAGGGCAGCCAGAGGAATCCATGAATTCACCATATTCCATGTCCTGGCAGCTTTCATTCATCTGGGGAGCTGTATCTTTTGTTTACTGTCTAATCACTCTCCCAGCCCAGGGTTCCTCAGGTGGATCGTCACACAGCCAGAGGCAGCAGAGCAGAACACGTGCCAGTCGTCATAGGCACGTGTGCCACCTGAGACTCTGGCCTTGGCAACTACTGACCTGGTTAAGGCAGTATCCTCCCTGCAGCTTTTCTTTCTTGGGCATCTGGCACCAGCTTGTGTCTTTCTCCGGCCTTGCTGATGTCTCCAGTGAACTTCCAGCCTCTGAGCCTACTATCTTAAGAATCTGCTTACCTCTGAGGGCTTTGGCTTTTGGCTGACTGTTGTCTTGTAAGCAGGATGCTCTAAAAGACTTTGTTCTTGAAATAATTATTTCTGCCTTTGGCAAAAGCCATGGCAGTGGACAAAACTACATGGTAAGAATGGCTAGAATCAAGAAAAGAGATTGAGAAGATAACTTCCATCACACTAAATGAGAAATATGATTATGAAATGCTGGAATTTATTAATGATCTATCTTACCAGACAGAATTTGTGGAAGCTATAAACTACCATAGCTTGTGGAAAGTATAAACTACCATAATAAGGACACTATTGCCATAGTGTGCCAAAAGCAATAAAATGATGGCAGTAGCTCCTTGAGGGAAAGTCACACTTGACACCTGGAGGATTTAATGAATGGGTCATTGGATGAGTAGCTCAGTAGGACCAAGAAAGTTTTATAGACGTGTATGTCAGGGGCTTAGGGCCCAGGACAAGCATCTCCAGATTCCAAGGGATCAGAGAACAACTCTGTCAGCATCTTTTACTCACACCCGTGGTGAGAAAGGCACAAGGAATAATTGGTTGCCCCCGATGATATCGGGCTTACTGGAGATATCTACCTTTGTGTCCGTGACAGTAATTGGGCACACACACACACATGAACACACACTTCTGTACACATCTGCACGTAACCGCACATTTCCACACATCCACAGGCGTCCACGTGTGTGTCTACAGCCAGACACAGGCAACTGTTTATTGTTTACATCCATTCACTGACTGCAGAATCTAAACATACCCCCAATACCTGCTGTGCTTTCATGGATTGGCAAAGTTAGGGTGGAGCCAAAGCATTACATAACTGACTTGTGGGCAGCTAGCCAAAGAAGTAGACCTGGTAGTTATCATGACATGAGCTACCATAGTGAAGACAAAGATCTGGGAGCACAGAGACAGGGAGACAAGGACGAAAGACACGGGAACTTGATGTTGTCACTTTTCCAAACTCATCTCTTCAACAAGACTCCTGGATATTTTATTTTTATTTATCAAATTCTTACCTCAGAGTCTTTAAGAAGGTCTTTGTGGAAAGGGGGACTTGTTGTGCTATCTTGGTGAGGAATATACAGAGAATCAGTCACAGAATGAGCACCATTAGCTTTATGTGCATTTGGTTTTGGTGGTACCTCCCCATGCAAGGGAATTCAGAGATGCTACAAGCAAGACTCAGGGGGTATTCAAGTTAACGTGTTTATCCGCAGCTAGTGCATGATGTTTGGAAATGACCCAAACACGCTTAGTTGGGCCTGCTAAGCTTGAACACATTTCAAAATTTTTCTTGTAAATGAGTAAATTTTACATTCTTCTTATAAGGCATATTAATCATTATTTACCAGTTACTACTAATAATTTTAACTATTCTGAGTACTTTCAATATAATTATCTATCTGTACTTGCATCATTTTTGAAAATTTACTTTTTTCATTCAAGTTCCAGTAAAATAATAAAAACCAGCATAAATAATTCACCCTATTGGTATTCTGTATTTCCTCATAGAGAATGTTCAAGGGCCAGCATTTTTTTAATTGGTAAAAAGGTATTTATAGGCAGAGAGAGTGTGTTAGCAAGAGACCGAAGGGGAGAAATCCGAGCTCTCCCATCCACTTGTTCACTCTCCAAATATCCCAAACAGCTTGGACAAGGCTGGGAATGCAATTTGGGTCTCCCCACGGGGTGGCAGGGCCCAACTACTTGATCCATCACCCAGTGGGTCCCAGGGTGCACATTAACAGAAATTCTCCTGGGGAGCAGAGCTTGGACTCGAACTCAGCCATTTTGCCATCCCCAGGGTGTCTTGGTTCCTGGATGAGCTCTTGTGCTGATTGCCATTTCTTCAGTAGGCAGGGCTTTTTTCTTGCCTAGAACTTAGAAACTGCAAACTCACCACTGTACAAAGGAACTTCTCATAGATTCTGTCCTGTTAGCTTTGTCAGCTTTTTTATCTAAATGGCGTTTCAGTAATGCTGTTTGTGAAATGATTTAATCTCCTTGGGCTTTCTCCTCACTGTCACCCCATCCTCTTCTGCATGAGGGTAACACACTCATGTGCGCCTGCCTTACTTAACTTGCACATAGAAGCCACATGTGGCAGTGTTTATTGTACTTACCTTGCTTACAGATGCTTTTGATCCTCCACTAAGTACCAAGTACTGTTGATGCTAGAAATGGGGTAACATAAGACAGATAAGGGCCCTTCTCTAACAAAAAAAGGAATATACCTGTTGTAGTGGTGCAGTAAGGAATGATTACACGGTGACTTTCAACATAAGGGCCTGGGGAAGGCCTCGGTGGATACTAAGGATCCAGACATGAGGACCTAGCGAAATGAGTGTTTCAGGAAGAGGCAACTGCTGGTGCAAAGAACCTAAAGTAAGAGGAAGCGTCACTCGCTTAAGTGAACTAAGGCAAGCAAGCATGTCTGGAGCAGTGTGGGCAGACTGGGGTCAGGACAAAAAGCTGGATGAAGGGAAGTCAAGCAGTGGCAGAGGCTGGGTGCTGAGGTGCCTTGTAATCAGATCAGGATGCTCTTTTCTTAGTTCCAGATTGTGTTTGTGCCTATGTAGATGAGGAACCACGATCTTTGGCATTTTAACCTCTTTAATCACAATCTTCCTAGGAGTTGGTGGTCAAGACCCTGATTGTGGCAGAACCACATGTTCTGCATGCATACAGGATGTGCAGACCTGGCCAGCCTCCAGGAAGCGAAAGTGTCTGCTTTGAAGTCCTGGGATTTGATATTCTGTTGGATAGAAAACTGAAGCCGTGGCTTTTGGAGGTAAGGCAATGTCTAAGAAGAAAGATGTTACTGTTGTTTGTGTACATTAAAGGACATGTTCTTCAGTGTCTGCTTGGCAGTGTTGTCCCATTAACTGACCAGAGGAAGCCTGAGGGAAGTATGTAGGAGGAAGAGAAGGAAAATGCAAGGAGGGGTGGGCATCTGTGGCACAGTGGGTTATGCCACCATTTGCAATAAACAAAAAGAACCTATATCCTGTATTCTGTATCCTGTATTGCCGATTCAGGGCCCAGCTACTCTGATTCCTTTCTAGCTCCCTGCTGATGTACCTAGAAAACAGTAGATGATGGTTCAGGTACTTGAGTCGCTGCCAGCCATGTGGAAGAGCCGGTGGTGGTGGTTGGGTGGGGAGAGGTGGCCTTCTTAGCCTCTCGCTTTAGTCTTGGTCCACCCTTGACTCTTGTTGTCATTTGAAGAGTGAACAAGAGATGGACAATCTCTCTGTCTCCCCTTCCCTCTGTGTCAATTCTGCCTTTAAAATAAGGGAATCACTTAAAGAAAAAGAACCTAAAGAAACATTCTGGGAATACAACAGTTTGAAGGGTGCATCACACTGTGCTGGTGTTACTTTTCCCATGTTAGTGAGAGGACTTCCGGGCCAGGAGGTTTGTATGTGGGAATCTGCTTTATTACTTGGCTAACTACTTGCTTTACTGCTTTCTCAAATTTGTGGTTTCTCTGATTAATCAATTCTGCACATTTTATTTCCTGTGTGGAGGCTGGCCTTCAGTGTACTTGCTCCCTTAATCGGTGCTCAGCACTCAAAAGCCCAGCTGGCCTAGGTGCTGCTTGCACGCTGTCTTGCGTGACTGGGTCTTCCCTCATGTTCTTCCTGGCAACCGTGTTCACTAGTGTTCACTGGATTAGTTATATTTTAAGGATTATTCAAGATATAACCAACAGCTGCCGTTCATTTTGAATTATCTCCCCTTTTATTAATGATTCAGATGTTGGACATTGCATCAGTCGCAAATTGGATGATAGGTGCATTCAAAATATTCAATACATTTTTGTTTTTAGAAATAAAATTTGAGAGTCAAAGATATTGTGAGTGTGTGTGAGTGTGTGTTCTATGAGCCCACGCTGTATATTGTGTTTCCATAAGAGTACAGTTTTCCCTTTTGGTGTTCAGATTTGCTCCATCTTGGGTCCTAGAAATAATGAAGTTTGTTTGCCCTGTGCTTCCTCTGATTTGTGATATGAACACACTTGAGAAAGGCCCGAGCCCTTCTACTGCGGATTTGCTGCTTTGTCTGCAGTAGTCCTTTTTTTTTTTGTCCTTGCTACTTGTGCTTGGTCTTTGATGGGGTAGGAAAGAAGTGAAAACATGTATGTGAGGAGGGCGAAAGGAGAGCAGGAAATAATGTGTGAGTTATCTCTTAGAAAATACAATTGCCTATCTGGAGGTTTTCAATCGCAGCTAAATCAAAATTGACCAAATAGGTGAATTCTGCATCTCAAAATGAAAGAAAGAAAATACCATTATTTGCATCATTTTTTAATTCTTTCATTGATCATTTCCAGGTCAATCAATCATTAAAAAATTCCCATGGTAGCAGATAGCTATGGAACATGCATATTCTTTATTTTAAATCAGTCAAAACATCGTTTTTTAGATCTTGGTTTGTTTTTGTGCTGCCAGCTGAAATTGTAGTGGAGCCGACACACATGGTCAAAAAAGACCTTTTGGCGCCATCAAGTGGATGAAAGCAGAAGGTGCTCCTGAGGATGTGGTAACTTATTTAGCAGAATCATTTCAGGTAAAAATTTGTTGTGGTAAAATTGCAGAAATTGAAAAACATAGGAAAATGTTTTTAGTGGAACACACAGAAGTTGAGTGGATTATAACTGCTGCCAATACTTTATGGACTTTTAACAAGACCTGAGCTGCAGTCACCACCGTAGCTGGAAGACAAAGCTCCTCGCACTCTAGTGGGGACTCGTGTGTGTATTCTGTGCCGTTGTAAGCATAAGGGAGAAACAGGGACTTAACACAGACGGAAGAGTGGTTCGATGTCTGTGTCCATGTGTGTATTTGAAAGTTTATGTGTCTATAAGAAGTTTGCAGAGGAAACACCTGAGTGGAGTGTTCAGTTCACAGATACAGATCGATGCTGGACAGCTGGGTGGATGGACAGGTGACAGGTAAGGTGGAGGGAGGCTGTAGGAGAGGATTGCAGTGGTTGACAAGCACAGAATTTGTTGTTGACAGGGGAAAGGTTGTGCTGTTTTTGATAATGAAACTACATTTTAAAAATTAATAAAATTTTAAATGATTTTGTCTTACAGTTTTTATTGTTGCATGCATTGATAAGCCGTTGAATTTTGATGCTGTATTATCTGCTAGGTTTTGTCTTTTTCAGAATTTGGGTAGGAAATATCAAACAATGAAATCCTCAGCAATATAGAGAAAAAATTTTGGTGGGGTACAACCCAGATTTTCAGTTTCTTCTGTCAGCTATTTGTGGTGGTTCTCTTATGTTTTTCTTTGCCTTTCTCATGAAATTTAAAACCAAAATGCCCAAAACAATGCTGAATGATAACATTGAAAGAAACTTTCTGCATTTATACTTGTGTTTGTGTATGTGTGTGTAGGTACATTTCCTCTTAGACTGATTTATAATATAGTAGAGGGAAGAATTAAAGTTGGTGACAAGAAAGGAATTTGAAGTTGTTTTAAACCAAGATCTCAGTACAATTCAAGAGGAAGGATGTGCCTGGAAATACCACATAGGCTGGTGTACATTTATTCATTTGCTCTTAAGTATCTAATTTTTTATAATCTTTTTGCACATAGCAGCAGAACTGTCATTAATTCATCATTCTACATTTCAGACATTTGAACTTGTATTAGTAAAATTTAAAAACAAGGATTTATTTATTTGAAAGGAAGAGTAACAGAGAAAGAGACACAGTGAGAGAGATGCATCTTCCGTCTACCAGCCAGGACATTCTTCTAGTTTGCCACAGGAGTGCAGGGGCCCAAGAACTTGGGTGATCATTTGCTGCTTTCCCGGGTGCACCAGCAGGGAGCTGTGTGGGAAGTGGAGCAGTCAGACAACACTCAGATGGGACGCTGGAGCTGCGTGACAGCCTTACTTGTTGCCCCTGTTGCTGGCCTTTAAACTTTTTTTTTTTAAATGTACTTATTTTCATTGTAAAGGCAGATATACAGAGAGAAGGAGACACAAAAAGAGCTTCCATCCACAGGTTCACTCCCAAGTGGCTGTAACGACCAGAGCTGAGCTGATCCAAAGCCAGGAACCAGCAGCTTCTTCCAGGTCTCCAATGCAGGTGCAGAGTCCTAAGTGCTTGGGCCATCCTCTACTGTTTTCCCAAGCCACAGGCAGGGAGCTGGAAGGGAAGTGGAGCAGCTGGAACATAAACCGGCACCCATATGAGAAAGTAACACATGTAAGGAGATGATTTTAGGCGCTAGGCGACTGTGCGGGGCCCTAGTTCTAAACTTTTCCCCGTAAATTACTTGCCCATTCTCATCACTCATTGAGAGAAATGTTTACAGCTTTCAGGTAACTGATCAACTTCCTGTCTCAAATTGCTTTTGAGTAAATGTATGTCCTTGGAATTTTCAATTAAATTCCTTTTCCTTGTGGTTTTTTCATGAAGATATGATGCTTATCATCTTCTAAATCATAAATGTACAAAGAAATCAGAATATGATATGGTCAATCTCTGCAAAAAGGGAGCCATGCATTCGTCAAAATGATGGCATGATGAAAGGTTTTCATAACTATGAAAAAAACAGGAGCAATAAAGTATAGTTTGTATGGATAAATACAATGCATATTTTAAATCTGCATGCACAGAAAATGTCTGTAATGCTACAATGTATCAAACCGTAACGAGGGAGTTCATCCCTATGCCAAGGCTGAGAAATAACCTTGACCGGACAGATTGGAGCTGCAGTGCACCTGAGTAAACAAGCGGGCCCAAGCAACCCTTATCTTCCACTGTCTTCTACCGCTTTCTCCTCTGTGTGGCTCTTCAGTGACATTTCTGGAATTGGCTGTCCTAGGCCTAAGAGACATCTGTCCTGTACCTTTTCACAAATGTGTGTGTGTGTGTGTGTGTGTGTGTGTGTGTGTGTGTGTGTGTGTGTGTAAAAGTAAAAAGGTGTAATGATTTGGTCATTTCTCGGACTTCACACTCTAGTGCATCTCCACCTGAATGTCTAGTTTATAAAACTTGAATGTTTTTTCTCTTGTCGACTGACATTGTATTAACTGGGTTCCTAGCATCAGCCAAAGAGCCCACCTAAGAACTAAGAGGGTGGCAGGGTGAGTTCCTTCTCCCTTCCCTCCGTATTGGGTTTACAGGTGATCCTCTGCAGTTTGCTTTCCTTTTCTGCAGTGAACCTGTGCCCTGTTACGGAGAGCAGCCAGTGATTGCTCCTTCACCTCTCCTTGTATACTCTTCCGCCCACATCCTAATTCAGCCGGGATGTTCTTCGCAGATGAGTCCAATTAGTCTTTTTAGCTACAAGCCCAGTTCCTGTTCTTGCCCATCCCAATGAGTGCCAATTAACTCCTAAACTCACAACACTTAGGTGAGTCACAGGTGGGCAGGAGCCAATACCTATCACCTGAGAGGGGTCAGTATTGCATTGTTGTGTAACCACGCCCCTCACAAGTCCCTTTAAAAGGCCCATGAAGCAGGGGCTCTTGCTCTCTTTCTGGCCAGGTGTTTCTGTTACTTTAGCACCTCGACTCTTGGCTGACCCAGGACAGGTAATCCCCTGAGCATGGTCCCTGTGTACTGCCTAGATGGGACAATGAATATAATAACGTTTTTGGTTTGTGTTCCAGGAGAGGTGAGGCCTAGCAGTAGTGGAATGTGGGCAGAGAAGCCAGGGAAAGGTGAATGTCTGCAGCTTTGTAAGTGTGTCCAGGTTATTCGTTGCATGTCTCTTAGGCATTCATCGCGTATTGTTAGGGAAGCTGGGACATAGGTCTTCAGCTTAACGGATGGACTTAAGGTTGATGACCATTTGTTCCCCTTTGGATTATGATTGGTTGGATTGCTATATGGACTTATGATGTGCTATTTCTAGTATGCTCTGTTATCACCATGCTTGGTTAATAAAGACTCCTTAATAAACCTTAGACATGTTTGGTGTGGTCTCGCTCGCACCTCGTAACAGCCCCATTTCTTTTTTTTTTTTTAAAGATTTATTTTTATTATGTTTTATTGGAAAGGCAGATATACAGAGAGGAGAGACAGAGAGGAAGATCTTCCGTCCGATGATTCACTCCCCAAGTGAGCGCAACGGCGATGCTATGCCAGTCCGAAGCCAGGAGCCTCTCCCGGGTCTCCCACGCGGGTGCAGGGTCCCAAAGCTTTGGGGCATCCTCAACTGCTTTCCTGGGCCACAGGCAGGGAGCTGGAATGGAAGCGGGACTGCCGGGATTAGAACCGGCGCCCGAGGACCTTAACCACTTGCGCCACCGCGCCGGGCCCCACAGCCCCATTTCTAATTAGAGACATTGTACTGCCAGATGATTTCTTGAATTCAATGTGGTATTTCCTCCGGTACCAATTGTAGGATGCATCTAAGCAATCGCTTAGTCTTCTGTGCTGATGGGTTTGTACAATTATGTTCAATTATGTCTAGTAACTTCCTTCTGCTGCTGCTGCTTTTTTTTTTTTTTTTTTTTTAAGAAAACCTGGGTCCTGGGGGTTTGTGCCACAAAGCTACAAAGCTAAACCATGGTTTTTGGCATCAGCAGCATTCTAACCAGCTGATTTAACTGATTGATTTTTTTAATCAACTGATTTAATTAACTGATTTAACTAATTAAGTATTTGCTGTTGCAGGTACATTTAGTAACAACAGTAAAACCCAATGGCAGCAAAGACAGAAAAACAAAACTCCAGCTTTGGAAGTGGTAGAATATTGTACAGTGGATTTTAGGGCGTAAACTGCTGCTTTTTTCATCTTAATGAATTCTTGGAAATGATGTCAGAAAGAAAGTAGTCACAGGTGGCTCACTATTCCCATTACAATCCTTGCCTAGCTAAGAAAGTTCATAGTGGCAAGTCCGTAACTCGCTTATGATTCTCTTCTGAGATGATCACTACTGCCTTTCCAGTGGAGACCGATGGTCTGCTGTTTAGAGCTGGTTAGCAAGCAACCAAAAAAAAAAAATGTGTTTTTTAGGGAGTAAATGAATTCATCGGAAAGAGCTGGTGCAGTCCAGAGAGAACACTGAGCATTCACTTCCCTGAACTTAAAATCTTGAACACATGGGGGTAAAGAACTGGAAAACATGCAGAGGAAATGGAAACAGTGAAGACACAGGAGTGGGCATAAAGGATGTGGTACTCACAGTGCACAGGCATTGCTTGGCCCAGTGAGATGGGGAATGTGGGCCTAACAGTGACCACTTGATTATCTGGCTGTTCAAGTTTTGAGGTTGATTGTGCAGTCCCACTGGATGAAGGTCTGACTTGAAAGAATGAATATGTGCTGAATATTTACTGACTTTCTAACGTTAGGCTGTTTTCATTATTTTCTTTGTAAATTTTAGATTAATCGGGCCCCAAGCTTTGGAACTGATCAGAAAATAGACTATGATGTAAAAAGGGGAGTTCTGCTGAATGCACTGAAGCTACTAAACATCAGGTAAAATATTCCCTTGATCTTCTGGAATTTATTCCTCTGTATGTAGCACATATGACTCATTTGCATGGAGTTGGCTTCTAACCTTTTATATCTTTGTATTTATACGTTAAGTTTATTGAACTGTTCTTTAAACTGATGTTTTTGTAAAAATAATTAAAACAACTTTCCCTTTCTTCCTTCATATTGCTTCTCTTTCCTGTGTAATACTTCACATCTGCAGTAAATGTTGTCTATCACAGGATTGGTGTTATGATTTCCCATGAGGTTGGATTGGAGAGGTCAGTTCCTGTAGGAGACCCTCTGGATTGCCCTCCTCATTTTGCAAGGAGAAGCTAAAGCACAGATGGGTTGTTCAGAAATCAAAAAGAAACCTCAAGCATGATTTCCTTGGCTATATAAAGAGGGCTCAGCCAACTGTATTATGCTGCTTGTTCAGTGGAGGCCAGCTTTTTCCTAATGTATGCAGGAAGGCGGCAGAAGATGACCCAAAGTGCCCAGACCCTTGCCATTGCCAGTCTACTGGAAGACTAGGATGGCATTCTTGACTTCAGGCTTCAGCCTACCCTAGCCTTGACTATTGGGACCATTTGGGGAAACAGATGGGAGATCTCTCTGTGCCACTTTGTCTTTCCAATCAATAAGTGAATAAATCTTTAAAGAGCTTTATTTTAAAAACTTGTTTATTGATATGTAACACTTGAGAGTCTTGATGAGGTATAGATAAATATTTCCACATATATGTGCAGTGTTAAGTCTGTCAGATAATCCCATTATTTCATCTTTATGTTGGAGCCTGTGAGTGCCTCTCTTCTAGTTCTTTGTACAGTGTGTTGCCAACTGCAGTCATCCCACTGCACTCTGAAACACTAGGACTCATTCCTGGCTAACTTGTTTTGGTAGCTATTATCTAGCCCCTGTTTATTCCCCCTCCCCCTGCCATTCCCATCCTACAGTAACCACTATTTTAAAATCAGTTAGATTTAAATTTTTTTCTACATATTTGAGGGAACATGCTGGATCTGTCTTATGTGGCTGGCTTATTTCACTTACTGTAATTGAAAGTGAGGTGTAGACAGTCCAAGCAGTCAGACATGTCTATGCCTAAAACTATGGGCAGAACCTGTCCTATATTCTGGCATACTGGGTTAAGCTACTACCTGTGATACTGGCAGCTCTACTTGTGATCCAGCTCCCTACTAATGTACTTGGGAAAACATCAGAAGATGGTCCAAGTGCTTGGGACCCTATGTCCAAATGAGAAACCTGGATGGAGTTCCAGTTGCTGGCTTCAGCCTTGCCCAGCCCTGACCATTGCAGACATCTGGGGAGTAAAGCAGCCAGTGGAAGAGCTCTCTCTCTCTGCAACTCTTTCAAATAAATCAGTCAATCTTAAAGAAAGAAAGGCAAGGACAAATGGAATTCAATATCCTTGTCTTTCTTAGTGTCTCACAGTGAACACAATCTCTAACATTTAGAGTATATGCTAACAAGGCTTCTGTTACAAACATGCGTCTCCCACCCAAGCAGATGGAGGGCTCTGTGAACACGTGTGTGGCTGAAGTTTCGCTGTGGCAGCTCTGTGATGGGACGTGACAAGAATGAAAATGGGAACTAAGAATATTAGGAAAAATCTTGCTCATTTGTTAAACATTACAAGGCTAATTTTCATATGGACTCTAAATTTCGGACAGAATACATTTCCATGATTCCAGGCATCCCCTATCTACATTCTTTTAAATCTAAGTCCTACAATAATCCTTTATTCCTCATTATATTATCTTTTTGCTCAAGAATCTAACTAGATTTCTATTACCAACACTAGTGTTAACCTTTTTTGTAAAATAGCCTAACCTTAACTTTTCCATGCTCTTTCTAACCTAAACTGTTTTAATTAAGCAGATTACTTTAATAATTTCCCCTCATAGCTTGCCGTTTTCACTAATGATTTATTCTCTCTGCTGGTCTGAATGCTTTTCTTCATTACCTGTGGGCTCAATGCCATCTCTAATTATGAAGTGTTCCTTTTGGCCTAAATAAATTTCTTTCTTTTTCTCCCTTAATTTCGGAGGAAACTATGGTCTTCAAAAAGAAGTCAACAGAAACCCATTCCCAGACACTTGGTATGGGAAGGAGATTTTGTTTCAGGAAGCAGTTAGGAAAATGAGGAGGCCCAGGCTTTGTAGAATGAGATCAAGCTCTAAAGGAACAAAGGGAGAGAAAGATCTGACCAGATTTTCATTTAGTCCGTGGCTGGCCTGGAGTAGGGAGGGATTTAGTACTGATTTGTTCACTTTTAAAACTGGTTGATTTTGAAGATTGACAGGGGTTGAGTTCATTGGTAATATTGGATGGTGAAATGGGGCTTTGGAAAGGCTATTTATGTTCCAGTTGAAACAAATAAGCCTGGACAAGGGAGAATGGTTCTCCCAGGAAGACACAGTTTAACCAAGCTGGGAACAGCATGGTGAGCAGGTGGCTGCTCAGCTCCTTTGTGAATCTGAGGCCCTTTTGCCACTCAGGCTCCACCTTTAAGGTCCAGGACTCTACAAGTGTTTGCCTCTTTACAGTATATGATCTCTTATGCTCTGCACCACTTTACCTGGGCATAGCCAATTCTTCTCAGTTGGACTTAAGCTTTTTGAATTTTAGAATTGAGGTTTTCATATTCTCTCTCATTTTCAGAGCAGTGCTTTACTTGCAGTATGATTCCATCTAGATCTCCAAGTTCATTGTACAAGGTCTGTGAGTCACTCAGGATGTTCCCTCCTAGGGATACAGAGCTGACACAGTGGGCAAGAACTGATCCCTTTTATTTCGATGACAAAATACAATTTGAATTCAGGGTTCGAGTTCAATCTTTTGGAACACTAGGGTTAGAAGTTTAAGAGACAAGAGTGTTGTAGTGGCAATTCTGGGTTAAGAGGCTCTTCTTACCTCTAATAATTATGTCTATTACAGTGATTAAGATGGGATCTAGAAAAGACATTCACAGTGCCACAAGTCCCTGGATCCAAGGCACTCATTAGCTGCATTGGATTAGAGTAGATTAGATAGCCTGGTCCTTGGATGGTGGCTATAGGCGTGTTTCTATTTGCTAGTGCTGGCTGGCTCTTGCGCGTTTATCCTCATTGGCCGTTTGTGACACCAGTTTCTGGCATCACTTAACTATGAGAATTTCTTTGTCTCCCCTTATGGTTCTGTTACATTCTGCTCCTTGGGATATACATTTTTCCCCCACTGTGGTGTTACCAGAGCACTCTTTTTTGAAAAATCCTATTCACTTTTGTGGCAAGATTTGTGAATTTGACACTGGAGTCCCCAATCTATGATGTATGTGATGAGGTATAGATTGGGGCACCTGCAACTCGTCTCACTCTTAAGTTGTATTTATTGCTGGCTGTTGACCATGTCTGCTGGATGCTTTTGGTCTACTATATGCTCAGTAAAATGTTGGTTAATAAATGAATCACTGAACGAATATTCTCTTGATACTTAAGTCCAATATGATTGATGTATTTTTTCATTCAGTTATGTTTCTCTTGCTGGTTTTTCTCTATTCTAATGAAATCATATCTTCAGCCTAAAAACATAAATCTAACATTCACATGTTTTTACTGGACATTTCTTTAGGGTATAGTTTTGAGGTAGAAGGAGAAAGAGAAATCTTCCCTCTTCTGGTTGACATCCCACAAGACTGCAGTAGCCAGAACTAGGCTGATCCAAGAACAGAAGATTGGAGCCAGGAACTTCTTCCAGGTCTCCCACATGGGTGCAGGGACACAGGGATTTTGGTCCTTATCTAATGTCTTTCTTGACAGGGAGCTTGATGGGAAGTGATGCAGCTAGGGCTCCAATGGGAACCATATGGTGTGCATGTGTTGGCTTCACCTGTTACACCACCAGTTCCTTACTGGACATTTTCGAAGAGCCTAATGCAGGGGCCAGGCTACAAAGCAGAGAGTAATCCTTGACTCCTTTTCTGGTGAATGAACTGAATCCTGCCATTTTTCTCCTTTCCAAGTCTAAGAGTTTATTATCTCTTTCTTGGACTTTTTTTTTTTTTTAATTGATTTCTTTCTTACTTCCCATTTTGCAGCTTCAAATCTGTTGCTTTGCCAGTCATTCAACAACTACCTGCATTTATTGAGTGTCCACTGCTACTGTGGCAGGTATTAGGAATTTAAAGCCTCTTCTATTCCAAGGTTTCTGCTTGGAAGACATCTTACTTGCTAATATGTCATTCATTAGGGTAAAGGTTATAGGGGAGAATTAGGCTTAGAATAGTGATGGGGGAAGGTAAAAAGGGAGAGATAACTTTCCAACATTGAATTTTTAGGTGTTTTGAGACATGTAAGCAGAATTGCTAAGTAGAAAATTGGATATACGGGACTTCAGGGGATAGTAATGTCTTAAATCGACATTCATGTGTGGATTGCAGTTGATCCTAATGAATGAGTTCACACCGCTGAATTGTATATTTTGAGAAGTTAAAGAGTGGGCAAGGACAGAGCCCCAAGGATTGCCAATATTTAAAGAGATATTTCTAAATTCTGGTGTTCTAATAAGATTGTTTCTACACTTTCAGATAAAGTTTAAAGTTCTTTACAGTATGTATAAGGTACCTTTTGATATCTAGTGAATTACTAATTTTTAAAAAGTTGTGATAAGGTATAAAATTTTCTATTTTAATCATAATATTTATAATTTAAAATTTTTAGTGTTTTTTTAATATTTGAAAGGTAGAATTATGGAGAGGAAGAGACAGAGATGGAAAATGAAGGGTCTTCCATATGCTGCTTCACTCCCAAAGTGGCTTCAATGGTCAGTTCTTGGTCAGACCAAATCAAGGCGCCTGCAACTATATACAGGTTCCCTGCATGGATGATAGGAGCTCATGCATTGAGGCATCTTCTGTTGCTTTCCTGATCCATTAGTAGAGAAATGGACTTGGAACAGAGCAGCCAGGCCTCGAATTGGCACTCAGCTGGGTTGCTAATGTGGCAGGCAGTAAATTAACCCATTGCACGAAACTCCGGCCCCCATTTTTAAGTGTATAATTCAGCAACATCAAGTTGCATTCACATTGTTGTAGGATTTTGACCATCATCCATCTCCAAAACTCTTTAGTAGTGCAAAATTGAAAGCATGTATCTACTAAACACTACTCTTCCTACTTTCCCCCTAATCATGGTAAGTCACCATTCTTTTTCTGGATTTGAGTGTCCTGTGGTCATATTTAACTTTTCTGTTGCCTGTCAGTGAATTGCACAAATTGGATAATATGTAAATACTAAGAATTTTTTGGGGGGATGTCAAATTTCTTGAATTCCAACTCTGAGAGGACTGTGTATTTTCACTTTGACTTTTTACTGGTGGCCCTCTGAAGAATCCTGAGCCAAGTGTAACTGGCTCACCTGGGAAAAAATAAAGGCTTGCTTCCCCTGATCGTCTCTCTCTTTCTCCTGTTATAATGCCACTGATGCAGCCATGGAGGCCCACCCACCTTACTTCCTCTTATCCCAATTTCCCCCCTTAAATTGTCCCATCTCTCAATACTGTTACAATGGCAATTCAAGGAGAGCTACTTGAGGGGATGAACATGCAAAGCAAAGCACCTATGTTAGGTGTCTTATTGGAGTGGAATGCTGTAGTTACTTGTCTTTCTGTTACTTGCTTTCTTCCATTAACAGTAGACAAGGGGAATAGACAAGAAATGTATACATTGGAACAAAAGACTGTGCAATGTTGTTTTGGATAAACAAAATAAAACAATGCATATATGCATTACACAAGCCAAACTGATGAGGTGTATAAGAGAATTGATTCTGTGTTCACATCCTCCTCAGACAGTTCTCAGTAGATCTTACTCTTGGTGGCTTTGCAAGCTTTCTAGAGGCAGTTTAATCTGTTTGCCTTGTTGGCCACATATCACTAGCTTGTGCATTTGTAACAGGCAAGCTACAAGAATGGTCCCATATGGTAGAGAAGTCTCATTCCTAGAAAGATCCCCAATGGTTCTATAACAGCTATTTCAGTTTAGCAAGGTCTAAGCTAGAACTATAACTAAACAATATCCTGGATTAGATCTAGCTGTGTTATCACAATCTGGGCTTTTATTTGGGTCTGTTGATAGTACAGTGTCTTAACCAACATCTGTATGCACCATACAAAACAATAAGCAGCATAAACAAGAATGAGTATAACACAGTGTATGTCCTATGGAAGAGTGTGCTGAATCAGAAAGTAACTTACTTCAGAATCATTGAGCAATTTCCCTACAAATGTCGTTGTGTTCTTGCTCCAATACGTGTGTGTTTTCTTTATCAATTATTGGATCTTACTAGAAGTTTAGAAAGCCTTTGCATCTTTTCAAAAAGATTTATTTCTTTTTGGAAGCTAGAATGATAGCAATGGAGAGGGAAAGACAAAGGAAGGTATCTTGCATCTGCTGGCCTACTCTCCTAGTGAATGAAGTAGCTCGCATTTGATGCCAGGAGTCGAGAACTCCATTTACGTCTTCCATTAAGGTAGTAGGAACCCAAATACCTGGGCCAGGCGTGTTAACAGGAAGCTGGATTGGAAGCAGAAGCACAGGTGCGACTCAACCTGCCCCTGCACAGCAAGACCTGTCCTGGTTTTATTTTTACAACTTACCTTTAGACTAAACTATTTCCTGTGGGATTAAGCTGTAGAGAGAAATAAGGGTGGTGTCTTTTTAAAAAAAACTTATTTTATTATTATTGTTTTTATTATCATTACCATTTTATGATACAGTTCCATAGGTCCTGGGATTTCTCTTAACCCCCCCACTCCACTGAGTTCCCCTATATTATTACAATAGTATAGTTCTTCCTAAACAGTCATATGTTCATCATTGTGGGCATGGACAATGGCAAAGGGTCCAACATCCTGTTGTCAAGATATAGTTAACAGTTTCATTGGGAATTAGTTTTGATCTGGAAGTAGAGATGCATACTACATTGTATCTCCCATCTGGATAGGATAGCCTCCCTTACACAGTTACTATACATCTCCTCAAGTGAAAAGCCACAATACAAAATCAGCAACAGGAAGAAAAAGAGAAATCTACAATGCAATGAGCTTAAATAACTTGCCATGGGGCTTGGCGTGGTAGTCTAATGGCTAAAGTCTTCCCCTTGTATGCATGCATCTGGATCCCATATGGGTTTCAGTTCTAATTCCTGTGGCCCCACTTCCCATTCAGCTCCCTGCTTGTGGCCTGGGAGGGCAGTCAAGGAAGGACTGGTGCCTTGTGACCCTGCAACTTGGGAGACCTGGAAGAAGTTCCTGGTTCTTGGCTTCAGATTGGCTTAACTCTGGCTATTGTGGCTGCTTAGGGAGTGAACCTGTGGATGAAAGATCTTTCTCTCTGTTCCTCTTCTTCTCTGTATATCTGACTTTGCAATAAAAATAAATAAATCTTAAAATAACATGCCATGAAGTTGAGCATAGATAGTAAGTTGTTCCCACCCTGGTGAGTTTAGATCTAAAACGAGTAATTTACATTATTCATTTTTTTAGCTGTGTTTTCCTTCTTTTCAGTAATTGTAGGTAAAGGTTCAGGGGATAAGGACGGATGAAAGTTAAGATGCAGAGGTAGAGGTAATTCAGGGAAGCTGTGGACGAGCTTTGGAAGAGCTTTGGGTACGTGACATGGATATGAAGGTTTGAGGGCTGGGTTTTTTTTTTCTCTCTGCAGCTTCTTTTGCCCTTTAAATATCTTTGATAGTCTCAAAAGTGTTCTTATTCTTGGTAATGAGGCTAATTTGTCATTTCCTCTTACCAATGCCTGAAAAAATGAGCAACAAAATTTCTTGTTGATCTTAGCCTTTCTTATTTTGGCCCAAAGAAAGCTAGTTTTGGAATATCAGATGCCCCTCATTTTGGAAATTTGAGTTCAGTCGTTTTTGTATGTATTTCCTGGGTGAGCCAGTGTTCATGACCTGATTGGCGTTCTCTGTAGGGCTGCTGCCTATCCTAGGAAGATCCCCATCTCCTACCACGTCTTGCATACTGACCCACAAATTCATACTTTGTAAGAACTTCAGGAGGGAACATTACTGCTAAATCTACTTGACAAGGACACAGACTCAGCAGTGAACTAACATTGTTTAGTAAATTGCTAGGATGGGTTATTAAACTCGAGTCTGATTCTTCCGATCATATGCCATTTCCATTTCATCTTATTATGAATACTGGATGGTTAGACAAACATCCCTAACATGCTTGAGGATCCATAAATCTAATAACGGACTTCTGACGGGATCTGTGACCTCTTCTAGTTCTCACGAGGATGACATCAGAATTGGTTTCAAATTCTGGAATGTGGTCTTTTGTATTTTAGGACCAGTGATAAAAGGAAAAACTTGGCCAAACAAAAAGCTGAGGCTCAGAGAAGGCTTTATGGCCAGAATTCCATCAAAAGGCTTTTACCAGGTTCCTCAGACTGGGAACAGCAGAGACACCAGTTGGAGAGGCGGAAGGAGGAGCTGGTATGCAAATGTTCAAAAAGTAAATGCCGTTTGAATTGCATGATGTATTTCTCCAACTTCATTTGCAAAATGTTCTCATTTCTAGAAAGAAAGACTTGCCCAAGTACGAAAGCAGGTGTCAAGAGAAGAACATGAGAATCGCCATATGGGGAATTATAGGTAACTATGATGTTATAGTAGTCTAGTTTGAAGTAATGAAGTGTCAAAACAACCATTGTGTTTTTAAACTTTTTGACATTTTAAACTTATATAAAGTGAACAAATTTCATGATACAGATTCAGAAGCATAGTGACACACTCCATCCCATGCTCCCTCGAGCCTACATTTCTTATCCACCCTCCTCCTTCCCTGTCTGCCTCTTATTTTCCCTCCTAAGTTTTACAGTGTGATATTTCATTTCACTTTGCAATCACAGGCTTAAAATCCATTAAAATATCAATGACTAGCTAGTAGACAGAAAGAAAAAACTACCCTAGCATGCCTCAGGAATGTGACAAAAGCTGTAAACAAGAATCAAATCCTAGGATGTCAGTCTCATTCGTGAAGGTTACAGTTCTTTGTACTCTGTGTTTAAGAGTGCTAGGTGTCACGGATCAAGGAACAAATAAGATATTTGTCTTTTTGGGATTAGCTTATTTACTAAGCTTGATGTTTTCTAATTGGATCCATTTAATTGTGGAAGACAAGATTTCATTGTTTTTATATGGCTAAGTTGTATTCGGTAGTGTATATATGCCACATTCTCTTTATAAACTTCTTGGCTTATTTTAAGCACTGTTTCATTTGAAGGTGTGCTTTTTGCTTAATATGTTTTAAGAAAGGGAAGGTGATCAGGAAGCATAGTTCCAGAACTGAGAAAGCTGCTTCTCGCTGCCTCTGATATGTTTTTAGATCTGATATGTTGAAGTAGCCACTTTTCTCTGATGGTGTGATAGTTTAAGAAAGTCAGGCTTCAGATCTCTTAGAACTCCTTCTGCCATGTCATTGTAATCATTCCACTGCGTTTTGAGTTTGAATGCTTCAGGAATTAGGTAACTAGTGTAATTATTTGAAGGATCCAGATGTGAGACAATATAGAGGGATGTATACTGTACTGAAATGGAATTCTTCACAGTGTCACCAGATATGATCAAAAAGGCGCATCTAGGCTTTTTGTGTTCTTTGAAAGATTGCCTCCCCTCTCAAGTCCTGACATTGCATTTGAGGGTCGGGGCATGTTGTTCTGGTTGTTTGTATGAAGTGTATGAAGTCATTTGATCTGGTCCTGCCAAGACTACAGCAGGAAGAATTTGAAATTAAAAGAATTTACACAGCAGCCTAATTTTTGAGTTGGTAATTTTGTATGGCTCACATATGATGCTGTAGCTATCCAATGGCTCTTATCAGAAAAGAATCCTCACCATCCTGTATTACAGAAGATGGTCTTGTTCCCTCATGATGAAAATGTTCTCGTCTGGCTTTAAAACCACATCAGTGGTGATAAGAATGCGTTCTTTCTACCTCACCTCTGCCCAAAGGCAAATTCCACCCCTGTAGGAGATCCTCAGGAGTAATGCCCATATTATCCTATGCTTTAATAACTGCTTGAGCCAAGAACTTTTGCATTATCCCTCAGAATTAAAACGTTCTCATTTGTTATGCTCCATGTTTCTCCCATTTTCTGACCTGCTATTCTACTCCAACCATTTCTTCCCAATCAAATGCTTAAACTCTAATTTATGGAGAAGCATTGTTTAATGGTAAGTATGTGGTATTTTAAAATTTATGTTCACAAGGGGCAAACATTTACAAATTTCTCATAAATGTATTCGTCTTTATTTTTAGCCACCTGGTATGACTGCAATAGTACTCTGTTGTAGTACCCTGACCATCGGTAGACCTTGCAGCTGACCTTCACTATTGAACTATGATCGAGGTTTAATGACAAATTAATTTATGTGATTTTGTTGTAGACGGATTTACCCTCCTGATGATAAAACACTACTTGAAAAGTATGAAAATTTGTTGGCTGCTGCTTTCCAGACGTTTCTTTCAGGAAGAGCAGCTTCATTCCAGCGAGAACTAAATAATCCTTTGAAACGAATGAAGGTAAAGAGAAGAGGTGCCTAAACAAAGGCAAAAGAATGTGGCCAAACAATATGACTTTAAAAACAACAGGGTCTTTGTCTTACATATAAAAAATATTTTTAAGATGTACTTCTCCTCCTTTTTCTCTTAATGGTTTGTAGTATTTCATAATAACTAAGCCATTATTGTGCTGTAATAACATTATATTTTAATAACTTCTTGTTATATGAACATGTGTAAGTAGCTGGATAGAGAGAACCATTGAATTAACTAGTGGTTTGACACTCATTATTTGAGTTGTAATTAACAATATACAGTATTTTTTCTTGATAATACACAGAGCTGGCGTATGAGAAGAGGTAATTAGCACACACTCATACACATTCTCTAATCTGTTTACCTTAATGAAGGATCTTTCAGTTTTATATGGCAGCATAATAGGCCACTTCAGTTGTTTGTTCATTATTCTGCAATCATGGCCAAGCACACTTGAGTGATTCTTTCGTAGTTTGGCCTGAGATGTGCATTTATCTGAAAGTAGAGTTTCACACAGTCTGCTGGGGTTAGAACTGCAAGGTAGCTTCGAGCACATGCTTGCCATGTCAGATAAGATAGCTGGAGCATATGAAAGATAGCTGATTCTTCTTTTTGCCTGTGTCATGTCTCAGCAAGGTCATCAGCCTCTGAACTTGGTGACTCAGGATGCCAAAAGCAAGCATTTTAAGAGGATTCTCTTTGTTCCAGCAGAATGTCTCTGCCTATCACAGCCTTGATCTGTGCCCTCCTATACACAGTACTTTTTATTTACAGATTTGGCATGTTTTGATTGCTTAGTTCATCTGTCATTTTTCAGTTCATCTGAAATTTTAGTTATTAGGATGAGAATATTGTCTGTTATGTTGTTTCTCCTAAATAGAAGTCATGCTGCTCTATATGGGATTCATTGTGGGATGATTACTTAATCAAAAATTTTGACAAGAGTCTTAGCATTTGAATAGCTAATCTTCATCAAATTGTGACAAAGAACAACTTCTTTTACAATTACAATTATACAGTGAAATTTTCGGTTTTTTCAAAAATCTTATTATTATTGCTATTATTAAAGGCAAGGAACAGAGACAGACAGAGCCCTTATCCACTGGTTTTCTCCACAAATGCCCTCAAAAGTTGGGCCTGGGCCAGGGTGAAGTCAGGACCTAAAAACCTAATCAGATTACTCACATGAATTACAAGAGCTCAATGGTGTAAGCCATCATTCCTGGCTCCCAGAGTGCTCAGTAGCAGGTAACTGGAATCAGAAGTGGAGCTGGGACCTGACAAGGCATTCTATTATTTGATAGGAATGTTCCATTTGGGATCACAACTGGTAAGTCCAAACACATTTGTTAAAGGGACATTAAAGTATAAATCATGATGGCATAAAGTTTTAATATTTTATAGATTGAAAAGATAATTCAACAAAGCAGTTGATTATACCTCTTTCTATATAACTTAGACTCTTATTCTTGTTTGATCAGTGTCCACAGGATGTATGTTTTAATAATTTTTGCTTGACTTTAGAATGACTCTAAAAGAGGGCACTTAGGAATTTGTGCTGTGATTTGCACATCTTTCATAAAATTTGAGTTAAATTAGTGCCCATTAACTGAATACTAATGTTTGCGTCTGAGTATTAATATTATTTTATGCCGTTTGGTATAGAAATGATCAATGAATTTATAGTCTGGAAAATTGCAAAGGACTTCTAGAAATTTTAAAGTATCTTGTGGGCTAACATGTATAGTTATTGTAGCATGCAGTTTTAATACTAAAGAGGAACCTAGGGATACATTTGTTAATGATAATTAATGCATAGTAGATTCCAGCAGTGTTAATTATATTGCTAGATTTTAGTGAACCTTTCTGGAAGGGAGATCTCTAAGCCCCTTTATTTCTACTTCTTTCAGCTGAGTTTTAAGAATTTTATACATTATTTTATGAAATAAGCAATGCACTTGGGAAAATTCTAGAGTATATTGGTAATCACTGTTTTAATGAAAAATTTTCTCCAAAGGAGGAAGATATTTTGGATCTTCTAGAGCAATGTGAAATTGATGATGAGAAGTTGATGGGAAAAACTATCAAACCTCGAGGACCAAAGGTAGATCAGCTCTACCTCCCTTGATAGCAAATCAGACGATACCAAGTGCAGAGGTTCTCCCTTGATGCTGCTCATGAGAAGGAAGACTGGTGACATTCCCAAGAAGCCAGACACTGTGTGTTTAGGGCAGTTGATTTGAGAGGATGGTAAAATCTTACACTCAGGAAAATGTTCATTTCATTTTGTTAGTTCCTCTTTCCCATAGTGCTTGAGAAAGCTCATGGAATATCTATAGTTGATGATTTTTAGAAATTAGCATGCTTGTTCTATCTATCTAATTATGTCGGGATGGATAACTAACAAAGAAGTGTGTAGCATTATAGAAAGGCAAAAGACTTCAGAACCTTAATTGTGAACCCTATTTTAAGATTTATTTATTTTTATTGCAAAATCCGATATATAGACAGGAGGAGAGACAGGAAGATCTTCTGTCTGGTGACCCACTCCCCAAGTGACTGCAACGGCCGGTGCTGCGCAGATCCGAAGCCAGGAGCCAGGAACGTCTTCCAGGTCTCCCACTTGGGTACAAGGTCCCAAGACTGTAGGCTGTTCTTGAGTGCTTTTCCAACCCACAAGCAGGGGGCTGGATGGGAAGTAGAGCTGCCGGAATTAGAACCAGTGCCCATATGGGATCCCGGCACTTCAAGGTGAGGACCTTAGCTGCTAGGCCACAGCATCGGGCCCAGGAACCCAATTTTTTGATCATCTATAAGCATTCATTGTATGTTTGTCAGTATTGGAAATGTCATGATGAATGAGTAGAAAGCTGCCAAGGAAGCAATGGCAAGCCAGTGTGAGCTTCATCGACATCTGTGCTATGTTGGTCACATCCGTATGTCCTAGCAGAGTAACATATAAAGAAGGAAAGAGATGGATTTGAAAATTTATTTCTATTCTGTTCCCTTTACCTTCTGTTTCAGCACTAGTCACATGATGCTTTCAAGCTTTTCCATGCCTCTAAAATGCTTACTTAATAAGTAAATACTACTAGCTTGTTCTTGATTTGTTAGAGATCTTTTCCTAACCCATTAAATGGTCTCTGTGTAACCTTCTCCAATTCCCCAGTAAACTTAGGTGATTTCCTTTCCCTCCTCCTTTTGCTGTACCATGGATAATACTTTTATAGAGGATTTGTATCATTGCTTTAGTACAAAATTATAAATTCCTTAGATGTGGAAAATGGGTTTTAATTTTTGCATCTCTGGCATCAGGCATGTTGTAAGTCCTCATAATCCATTAATCTTTGTCATGGGCCCACCATGTCCTAGTGGCTGGTGGATGAGCAGATAGGCAACAAAAAGGTAGCTAATTCCTTGGCAACTATTATAATAAAGGGCGTGCAATGGGCCATGATGGTGGAGACAAATGGAGATGGCTTTCTAGAGGAAAAGCATTTGAATAGCAGTTTGAAGAAATGAGCAGTGCTCTACGCTTTTCAGAGGGTGGAAAGATATTCATAGTGAAGACAATATTTGAGGCAAAGACCTGGAGGTGTGACACGTATGTAGGCTAATACAAAAATAATGAGGACAATAGTGCGATTCAAGTGAAGGGTTCTTGGGGGCTGAAAAAGGCAGGATGAGTCTGGTAGAAATCTTATTTGTCAGACATTGAACTGAATAAGGTGCTGTAGTTTGAGACACCATGGAATATAAAGTTGTAGTAGGAACTGGCACCCATATGGGATCCCGGTGCCTGCAAGGCGAGAACTTTAGCCTCTAGGTACCGCACTGGGCCCTAGAGTTGATCATTTCTTTGGGACATCTATAGAAGAGTGTCTCTTCGTGAGTCATAACTTCACTTTGGGAAATATTGTGGGATTTCTAAGCTTTGATTAGTAATTGTTTTAATTCAGTAAATTGAGCATGAAACACTTTGTGGGAACAGTCATCTGGCAAAAGGACAAATAGACTTGGATTGTCTAATAATTCCCTTTGTTTCATTTATGTAAGACTTATGCAAACAAAAGTAAAAATGTTTTGAAGGGCAAAAATCACATTGTAATTTTTCCAACACACTCATTCTAGGCAAGTAGTCAGAAGTAGTTATACGTTTGAAATCAAATTAATTGGACAATTTCAGAGCAGCATAACTAGTCTGAATTTGAAACATTTTTAATTTTGGATTTATTTTTGCAAGAATCCAAAGTGAACCAAACTTGAAAATAGTTCTTTTTTTTAGAAGGAGGATATTACTTGCTGAACATTGATTTCCAATATCTTTTTTGGGGTAAGGATAATTCGAGATGATTAGGGTTAAATAAAACTGGTATTTGTAATAATTTCTCTCCTATTTGGAAATCTAAGAAGTTTACTACAGCAATAGTAAACACCATATAAAGTATGAGCAGTATTTTTTTAATTGAATGGTAATGTGATGGGTATTATTTTTGGTATTTTTATACATTTTATATGTGAGCAATCTCACAATAAGATGGAACATAAAAATAAGCAATTTGTATCATATTTCGATACCAGTTTATGAATTGGATTCATTATTTACAAAACTGTAGACTATATGCTGCTGTGACTTCTAATTATTGCTTGAACAGTTTATTGATCAAAAAGTCCCCAGTGCATCTGTGACACAAGGTTCAGCTGTCCATTTCCCCTTGTGATTCTTTATAGGGTCGAATAACTCCTTATATAGTCGAGCTCCTTAAGAATCCTTAAAGCTGTTTGCTACCTGAAGGAAGGCACCACTGGCAAGCCTGATTGTGCCACTGTTTCTTCTGGCTATGCTAAACTTCTGAAGAAACATCCTTCCTCTAGAATTCATATGCCCCAAGACTGTCAAAATGTTTGATTGTGCCACTGGTAAATGTTTTTATGCGTATCTCTTTGAACATTCTTAGTACTCAGCAAATATTATCCCATCAAAAGGGAAACATATTTTTAGACACCATTTAGTATCCTAAGTGTATTGAACTACTTTCTTTTTCTGATTATTTTTCTTCCTTTACAAAGTCGGTAACTTAAAGAGCATCCTATGGTATGCTATGTATTCTAGGCTCTTTGTGAAAGGCTTTTTTGTGAAAGATTTTTCTCCTACATACTTACTCTGGAGGATATACCATCTTTTTGTGAAGTCCCTTGGTATCCAAGGAGATTTCTCTATGGTGCATGCTAATGTCAAAACATTTTTATTTGATTTAAAAGAAAGAAGCAACTAGTGTTTACAACTCCAGGAACCTCTCCCAGCAGGAATATGAAGCATATGGTGTATATAATAAGTAGTCTCTTAAAATAATGGAGCAACAACACTTAGTCTCGACTGTACACATTTTTTTTCTGTAGGAAAGCTGTCCTACGTATCTTCTCTGCTATTCCCTCATTGGCATCAATGGAAATACATTAATTGGGATGACAGGAGAACAGTGATTCCTATAATAGAGTTGTGGGTACGTCATTTTATGGCGTTTTGAATCTGTCAAGATTTACCTAAAGAAACTTTCTCTTAATAAATATCCAGGACATTGACCTTTACATTGTCTGGTTTTGAAAAATGTACCATGGGCATTTAACAGCAATGTTATGGCCAGACCTTGTATGCCAGAAGACATGAGTTATTTGTGCCCAGCTGGGAAAGTGGAAATCTAATGAGTTTTAAAAACAATTTTTGCTCAGTACCTACAGAGAATAGTCCAGATAAGCAGTGGTTTTCTTCCTGCTATACCTTTTCTGAGTGGAGAGGCTGTTGAGTTGTTTTAAGATGTGGCCTTCCCTAGGCTGGCTTTGCAATCTGCTTCCCTATTTCCTTTGACCCCCTTGCCCGTTCTTCCCCCCATCTCCCACTTACTTCCCACTTGTTCTTACTCTGCCATACACATATATACACACAAACACCAATATGTACACATATACAGTTATTAAATGACTGGATTTTAATGATGCAACAAAAGGACTTCTCTAAGTCTTGATAAGTTATCTCTAAGTATGAACTGAAGAAAATTTGATTCTATGTAAGAATTTTTTTGTTTTCATCTTAGATGTGTTTCCTCTATCTTGGTTTTCCCTATTCATGAATACTGTGGCGCTTTTATTTCAATCATGTCAAAATAGCAGTTTCCTTATCATGGCTGAGCTACATTAAATAGGCCAGGATATTTGCAGAAACAGAACTGTAAATAGTGTAACAGGCTAGGTAACAGAGTAACCTAGCCTTCAGTGATAGGCTGCCAGAGTAAGGAGGGGCTTTGTGAATAGCAGTTAATTGTGTTAGTAAGCCTTTTAAAATAATTCTAACAACGTACTGTCTATCCTTTATTTTAGCCACTGTGTTCTATGCCTGAGAGCACGGAAATAATGAAAAAACAGAAGTACTACAGCAGTGACAGCAGCTGTGAAAGTAGCAGCAGCTCTTCAGAATCTGATGAAAATGAAAAAGAAGATTATGAACATAAAAAAGGAGATAAGCAAGTTACATATAATCTTAAACACTCCAGCCACTACAAATTAATTCAACAATCCAGTAAGTCAGTTTCTTATACTTCGGTTGGTACTATGAAGAATTATGAAACAGAAATTGTTGATCTCAGGAAAAAGTCCTTAGGCCAAACGGGTCCTCATCTTGTACAAGGAGACCTGGTTTCTGTCTATTTCCGCTTCTAACCAGACTTGGGCTCAGCCCTGAGTCCCTGTCGGGTTCTACAAATAGAAAACAAGAGGTTTGCGTTGCGTTAAGGATTCAGTCTTGTGTAACTCAAAGTTTTTGTGAAGTGACAGATTTTTTTGCGTGGGTCATGTAGCGTATGTGCCTCATGGCTGATCTGCTGAGTCCTTTCTCTTTAAAGCCAGCAGTAAGAGACCACAAGAAGTTCAAGGATCTATGCAACCAAAAGGAGCTGCATACTTCCCTGAACATCTTGAAGACTCGTGTTTCAGTCCGTGTCCCCATCTGTCACTCACTTTGTTTTATACAATCGCCTATTTTTAAAAATGTGTGTATCTCTCTAGGCATTTGACTTGAATGTATCTGTGAACCACACAATTGAGAAATAGTTGAAGTGTTGTTCCCTCCTATATTCATCTCGGGTAAGCACTGAAGTCAGGACTTTTGGTGCGTAGGAAGTATTTAGGACCTCAGTCAGCCAACTTCCCTATGCTCCTTTCCTGCCTCCTTTCCTCTCTGCCTGCTTTTCCTTCTTTGAGCATTCTCTCGTTCTTCCCCTTTCCTGTCTTTCGTTTACTCTTCAATCTCCAGTATCTAGTGTGGTGCTGCTGTTTGCCCAGACTGTTTTAGAAAGCCCCTTCCTGACACTGCCTTCAGCCTGGACTTAGGGAACCCCTGTCTTCCTAGCTCTGTATGCCTTCTGCTCCATTGCCTGGAATGCTAGAGACCAGTTTAGCCATGCAATACATATTGTTCTTGAGCAATGGTTTATTATATTAGCTCCCCCAATAATGCTGACATTTTAAAACTGGCCTTCCATGCTTGTGACAAAATACATCAAGAATGCAGATCCAATCAACAGAATTTAAATGATTCTACAATGCCACTACTGTGCTTGTTGTTGTTGAGGTTTATGTATTTGGAAGGGAAATGATGTGTTATATTCCATCTCATTTATTTATTTACTCATTCAAGAAATGCTTAGTGAGCTCCTGTTCCAGCGTTTGTAAACTATTTTTCAGTTGCTTCCTTTCCTGCTTAAGGATGCTCTAAGTGCTTTCGTTGTGTTTCTGTGTAAGTATGCCTTTATTATTTCTGCTTCGGAAGGTGACATTTTTTCCTGTCCAAATTTTGTCAGTTTTAAAATCCCTCTTCTCTCAGATAATGGGTTCATCTATAGCCACATGAATGGAAGGGACACAGGGAGAAAGCTAGGATTCTTTACAGTTCTGAACTGTTCTTTGCGTTCAGTTAGTCCGTTAATAAATTGAGACCAGGCAATAATGTACTGAAGCACAATGCAGATTGAAAAATATATTAAATACAGATTCTCATTTTATTGCCAGCCTAATTTAATTATGAATCTCTTTTCTGATTAGTTATAATTTCTTTTACACTACTTAGGAATTATAGTATAGCAAGGTTTTTTTTTTTCATTTTTTTTTCTGTTTACTCTTTCACTATCACTGTAGCCACAAGTTTTCCTTGAGTTTGTTTTCAACATGGACGCAAGTGACTGCAGAACAAGTTCCAGATTCCGTGTAGTGCTTTCTTAGATAGCTAGCCTGGGAAATGCAAACTTGCTGTAACTTCAAAGCGATATATGTTGCTTTGATATAATTTAATCATATGAAAAAGTATAGAAACCATTTTTTATGCTTATGGGTGTAAGTTACTACCATTTTTTATCAATCTACTCAAATATATTATTGACATGTTTGCCTACTTAGTTATTCTGTATGAATGTATACTATATGCAGCTGAAAATTGGACTCTTACAATTCAAGAGCAATATTTTCCTCCTATCGTCTCATCAGTCTACACAGATCCAAATCTGCATCTTAAGTACTCAAAGGGAACTACAGCATGGTTAGCAGCACATGATCTGGGGCATTTTTCTTGATAGAAGTTGCACCATTATATGTAGTAAATCTGTACAGTTCTTTATTTAAAAGCCCAAGGATTGATAAGTGACATGTTCCCGAAGAAGTCTTTCTTGGGAAGCAGTGTCCCTTCAAAGAGTACTGTGAGGCCGTATGTAGAAGACAAGAAGTCCTTTTTTATTATTATTTATTCATTTACATTTGAAAAGCAGATTTTTACTGAGAGAGGAGATACAAAGAGAGGTCTGCCATCCTCTGGTTCCTTTCCCAATGGCCTCAGTAGCTGGGACTTAGTCAGTTTAAGGTTAGGAACCAAGAGCCTGTGGCCAGGAGCTTCCTCTGGGTCTCCCAGATGGAAACAGGGGCTCAAGGATGATGGCCGTTCTTTGCTGCTTTCCCAGGTCAAAATCAGGGAGCTGAATCAGAACTGGATCAGCCAGAACACAAAATGATGCCCATGTGAGATGCTGGCGTCGCAGGTAGAGGATTAGCTTGCTAAACCATCTCATCATCCCCTCTTTTTACACGTCTATGGCTTTAAAGAGAATGCTTTTTTGTACTCTATAGAATCTACATTAGGTTCATTTTCTACTCAAAATTTCTTTTAGAAATGCATCCGTAATTAGTAGACTTATGTCTTTGACCTTTATGAAGGTTTAATTTTTTTCAACAGTTAATGAAAAGGACTATTTGGTTATTCAACCTGACTTCATGTAAGTTTTATTAGATTATTTAATTAATGAAGATTGATGTATTCCCCAAGCACAGTAAGAATATAGAACAAAGGATATATAGGCCATATGAGCTTTCAAAAGATTAAAATGTTGATAGCATTAAATGCTAATATGTTTCCCTTTGCCAGGAATCAAAATTCATCTGGAGCAATTGGTTCTCTTTCTTAAATCTTCTCAGTATGCATGGGGGAAGACATTCTGTGGTTTCCCCTAGATATTTTTTTCTGACAACCACCCTGGAGATCTATGTTATTTTTTCATTTAAACCTTTTACTAATTGAATTTAATCTAGACTTTTAAGTTCTTCACTCTTATGAATGCAAAGGCTGTCTTTTTGATATGATCCTTAAAGCAATTATTATGCATTTAAATGTGCTTGGGATGGCTTTCTTCCATCTTATTATTTACTAATGGTCCCTGTATTCTGAACCATGTGTTTGCTCTGGACACTTTCTGGATTACTTTCCAGCCCTCACTATGATTTTGCAAACCCTTTCACTTAAACATAGCCTCTAGTAAACTGCCTATCTAATTCCAAAGCTGTGGAATGCCATCATGGTGCTATAGAAAGAGGGAGGTGAAGGTACTCAGGTTAGGATTGGAACTTGAGCTTGGCTGCTTACTTGCTGTGTGACCTTGGGAAGGTTCTTTCTCTGAGCTTCTGGACCATGCGGGTCCCTACGTCTGAGGTTTTGTGCAAGGGCTAAACTGAAAGTGGCACTCTGCACAGCAGCTGGGTAATAAAAGGATTTCATCAGTGGAATCATCTTTTCTTCTGCTTTCCATTTTTCATACTTCAAAACATATTATTACAGCACTATTGACAGTTATTCTTTCTGCATCATGGAGATTCTGCACCAAGTTCACTATTTAAATGAAAGAACTAATTCCAAACTCATATTCTCATGAAGATGACTGTGCTTTGACTTTGTCACTCAGCTGCCACCTGTTCTAATTTTCAATTTCTATAGACCAATTATGGGGGGATTTCTGCTAGCACTGCTACTATACTTTCCCTCTTCTCCATCATCCTTAGATGCCATGAGGCGGTCAGTCAGCTGTCCTCGGTCCATCTCTGCTCAGTCGCCCACCAGTGCGGACAACCGCCCCTTTTCTGCTCAACAGGTGATATCCGTGTCACGGCCGACTTCAACACCTAGGTCACATTCCTTAAACCGTGCCTCCTCCTATGTGAAGCACCTGCCACACAGTGATGATGCCAGCTCCACCAGCTCTCAGGTGGTGAGTCATCTTCTGGGTCTTTTATGTTTGCAGGAAGCACTGTCCTCTGCCAGAATCTATGTGGCAAAGGAAATCAGCTGAGGACACCAAACTGAGTCCAGCCTCCTTTCGTTTTTCAGCTCATGAGCCTTTGGCGTTTGGATCAACCATTTGTGTTAGATTGTGATATAGTATGGCATCTTACAAAGCAGGCTTCACTGTATCACAGAGCTTGAGGGTGGTCATGGAAAATGAGCACTATTTTATTTTTCATTTGCTGGTGCAATAATAAGAAAATAGTAGGGCAAATCTACTAACTATGTAATTTTACAATGTACTGTGCAGTCTGAAATTTGGGGGAAATTTTTTGTCTGGAAAATTATACTTAGGACAACCGATTAATATTCTAAAAAATGAGTTTTTCTGAGAACACTTCATTACAATGCTGTTTATACTTTTTTTGGTATGATAAATCAACATATAGTATTCCCTTCTTAGCATGGGTATCAGAAATTTAGTGTTGAAGGCAATTTATTTTGCAGGGAAGTTTACTTTCAGTAAAAGTAGCTTTAAACTCATTACTAAAGCCAATGATTAATTTGTTTAGTTAATGTTAATGGTGTTTCGAAAGGGAAGAGTTAGGGTTAGGAAATAGCTGTGAATGAATCTCATTTGGGAACAATGAGTGATTTTTTTTTTTTCTAATTAAAAATAGCTGGGGCAGGCATTTAACTTACTGTTTAACCTGCTATTTGGGATACTCGCATCCCATCTTGTAATGTCTGACCTTTATCGCAGCTCCATCTTGTTGTTGATGTCCTAGTAGGCAGCACTTGGTGGCTCAATTAGTTGAAACCCACTGACCATCTGGGTGACCTGAATTGAATATCTATCTCCTGGTTTCAGTCTGGCTTTATCTTGGTACTTGGGGAGTGAAATTGTTGGTAGGCAATTTCTGTCTCTCTGCCTGTCTTATAAAGCAAAAAACAAAACAAAACAAACAAACAAAAAAGATGGAGGAGGAGAAGGGATGAGAAAACATAGAAGAAGGAAAGGGAGAGGAAGGAGGAAGAGGAAGAAAAGTTTGACTGAGGCTTATTTATAAAATCAAACTGGGTAGGAAGTATTTACTGAACACATTTTTAAGCATTTTGTGCCAGTGAAGTTGTGTGGAAGTGTGAAAGATGCTGTAGAAGTTCATATCCATTGAATGCTAAGGATTTGCGAATATAAAAAATGATTTTTTTTGCAATTTTTTCAGTTTGAAAGTATATCATTTTTACCTAGAAATATCTTTTGGATCATACTGGCACATTGCAATACGATCCTTCCAAATATCTGTGTTCTTTTCGATTTAAGAGTGAGTCTTTGCAGCATTTGAAAACAAAAGAACAAGGAGACGAGTTAACACATCAAACCTTGACTGTTCTCAAGGACATGCAGATCCGCTTTCCAGGAAAATCAGACGCAGAATCTGAGCTTCTGATACAAGATGTGAGTATGCCATGGAGCTCATATCCTCTGTCCTTCTAAAAATATTAAAATTTATTTCCCAATGGCATTAGACTCAATTACATCGCAAACCTAATTGATGTTCTTTTTAACCTCTATAAGCTTTAGAAAATACAGGGGTTTAATTTTAATTATCATGATTCCTGATCAGCGAGATCCTATATATAATTAGCAATGCAAAATATCTTTTAGTATAAGTATTGTTTTAATGATAAGACTCTTTCATCAAGTAAGAATAATTAGTATTAAATAATTATTGTCCTTGGTGATTAAAAAAATTCCAGGTTAATCTTGCTCTTACAAAGATTTGGTGAGATCTAATATGCAATGGGATGTCTCTTGACATAATGTGTCAACGATTTTTAAATGTGAAGCCTTGAATATCCTATTTTTGGGTGTAATTTTAAAATGACTTATGCTGGGTTTTGTGGATGTGTGTGTATGTGCATGTTGGCAAATACCTGTTTGCACTGTTTGCACTTTTTAGTAGAACATTCTAAAATAGTGATGTGTCTGAACATTCCTAATAAAGTTAGGGTTTTACTCTTAATTCAGAAACATAGTCTTAAGTTATCAAAATTTTTAGTGAAAGAGTGTTTCTTCATAGATACATACTTTTTAGATGATCATTTCTGGATAATTCTTTAAGTAATGAAATATTTTCTGGGAGCCATAGGGCACCATCTAGTGGCCATCTGTAAGATTAAAAACCTTAGCCATGAAATTTTTTTATGTGGTTAGTATTATTTTAGACTTGTCAGAGCAGATATGTACAAACAAAAGCCAAAATAGCAGAGCAATAACAAAAGTGATTGTTTAGTCCCATCAATAGTGGCAATCTATCCTTCTAATCATGACTTTATAACCAGTGTTACAAATATGTGTTTCATTGTTAACATATTCTTTTAAAAATTAAAATTATGTCGTGTTTGCAAGTGAGCTGCTACTTAATACATCACAAGAAAAGGAGGGAAGATAATACTGATTATAAAGGATTATTCTACATGTTTTATTCTAGTTCAACTTTTCAATAAAAAGGTTTTTTCTAAGTAAAGCCAATAATTTAAAGCACTCACTTTTAATTTTCTGCTTTACATAAACATTTTCATTATATTCCACCTCTGACTCAATACAATTAGATGATCATAGAGCAAATCTAATAGTTGTGGCTAATGTAATTGTTTCATAAAGAATTTGTACAGGCTTATATAATTAATAAAGAAGAATTTTTAATAATTATATCAGATATTATTTACTTCATGTTCACTATATGTTGTAAAATTTTGAAATGTCTGTTATATATTACTACAACGTATAACAAAAGGAGATGATAGAATGCTAATTCTATGTAGGCTACCTCTGTTATATTGCTTGTATTCTACTATGCCTAATACGGTAAATGCAGCCCTTGGAATCACAGTAGAAAATCTTCCCCAAACTTATATGTCTGAGGACTTTTGACATTGACTCATTGGAGATTGCCTTCCTGGTACACCATGCAGAGACAGCTTCAGGTTTAGATATTTCCACCAACATTTCTGTATTAAAAATGTTCGTACACATGCTTTTATGGAAGTGAGCACTGTTTATTGAAAATCATAATATAGTGCTCTCATTGTACAAATTAATTCAGTTTTTATCTGCTTATCTATTTCTCTAGTACTTCTGATGAACATTCTAAATTCAATGTTTGTCTTCTTCAAACAGATCATCGATAACTGGAAGTATCATAAAACAAAAGTGGCATCATATTGGCTTATTAAATTGGACTCTGTTAAGCAACGAAAAGTAAGTGATGCTCAGAAATGATTTCTCCCTTTTAGGATACATATTAAGCTAGGATATTTCAGCTGACGTCACAAACTTTAAACATGCCTGTTTTTTTGTTCAGTTCTTCAACAAATATTTATGAGCATTTACTTTGTGTCAGGCACTGATCTTTATTCTGAAGATTAAAAAGAGAATTAAGAGAAATTCATACTCTAATAGACATTATGATAAACACGTATGTTATAGAGCATGATGAATTTAGCATTTTAAGTCAGTGGAGAAAAGAATTTTTTTCTGGTGAGTGGAAATGAAATAATTGATTTTGTGTATTTGTAAGAAAATTAAGTTGGGGCCTTATTAGATACGGTGATATAGATTACAGTTTCATATGTAACAAGGAAAATACTAAATAAAGATTTGGAAGAAAATATGGAAGAATGTGTTTATAATCTTAGAGTGGGGACATTTCTGAAGCAAGTGCTAAAATCTGGAAGAATTAAAGGAAAAGACCTACAGATTTGATTATGTAAACTTACAAATGATAACACATCTGAAACCAAGTTAAAAACATACGTGGGGAAGGGAATTACTATTGGTGGGATGGACTGATGGTTTGAGAAAAAGATATTTGAAGCACATAAAATGAAAGTAACCCCAAGAAACTGATACTTCCTACAAATCAATCAGCAAAAGAAAATCTCACATCTATATCAACAAAAGAGATTCTAGTTTACAGCCACAGACGTTTGTATGTATGTATAAAATGGCAAAGCATATAATCCAAAGGCCATGAAAAGGCGCTTTATGCATCTTCAGACTAACTAGATCCTCAATCGCATCAATGATGAAGAAAAAGTAAGCGAAGACCATCATATTGGCAAAAATCAGTAAGACAAATAATAGCCTGTGATGAGAACTGCATGAATAAGAGTCTTTTACAATAATATTAGAGGGCAAATATATTGCTCTAATCCTATAGGAAGGTAATTTACTATATCTATTTATTATGACTATAAATGTTCACCAGCTTATGACTCAGCAAAACCGTTTCCATCATTTATTCCACCACAGATGAATAGCTTGAATCTACAAAAGGTTTATAGACACGTTCTTTCCAGTGTACGTGTATTTGTGAGACCAAAATATTTGACGCAACCTGTATGTTTGTCAGTAGAGATTAAATTAATTTTTTGGCAACCATAAAATTTAATTGTTTTCTGTTGAGTTTTGTTCCATAATAGATATTAACTGAAAGTACAGCAAAAGACTATGGATTGGGGGCATTAAACAAGAGTTCATTAGAATAGAAACCCGGATTTTACTAATCATGGGTGAAGGATACAAACAAGAAATAATACCCAAGTGAGGAATTTTCAGGAGTCTGTGTATCCCCCAGCTATCTGAGGTCCCACCTTAGATATCTGGGAACATTCTGGGTTTGGAGCAATAAGGGCCAACTGTTTTTGTCTGTCTTTCAAGAGGCAGTCTCTTTCTGATTAGATGGCTTTCATTTTTTTTTTTTTAACACGATGACCATTTATTAGCAGACAATAATCTACGGAGTCCTGCTCACAGGTGGTGACCATGGTGACCCCCTTCCTGTGGATACTGTCAGAGGGGCTGGGGTGACATCCTCAATTCACTCAGTTTCATCCCCGAGCAGGCAAGGGCTCTGAGAGCTCACTGGGGCCTGGGTCTGTGGATGATGGTCCTATTTCTTCTTGTGGCCCACAGTTTGATGTGTAGAGCAGTAATGCCCAGCTTCTTACACCTCTGGGCAACATCCTGGGCAGCGAGCCTGGCAGTGTATGGTGAGGATTCATCTTGGTCAGCAGTCACCTTCATCCTGTTGGTCATGTGGCACATGGTTTCCTTGCTAGAAAAATCAGTGACGTGGAAAAAGGTGTCATTGAAGAACTCAAAACATGTGGCAGACACCAATAAGGACTTTCTCTGTTTTCTTCCTGCTGATAAATTCAATCAGAAGGTTTATTGAAATGTCCAGAAAGGTCAACATTACCTTGGAGATTGCATTTTTCCTTTAAATATTTTACAGTAAAGGGATATCAATATATTAAATGAGGGCCTGTGCCGTGGCAAGGGTCAAAACTGATGGCTGCATCATCCAGGTTCCATGAAGTGCTGGTTTGTGTGTATTCTGGCAGCTCCACTTTTGATCTAACTCCCAGCTCATGGCCTTGAAGGCAGCCAAAGGATGGTCCAAATGCTTGGGGCCCTGTAACCCAAGGGGGAGACCTAGAAGAAGCACCAAGCACCAGGAATGCAAGGCGAGGACCTTAACCACTGCGCCACTGCGCGGGGCCCAGACAAACTCTAATTTCTTCTCATTTCTTAAAGTCTGGAACCAGGAACTCCATCTGGGTCTCTCATGCGCATCACAGGGGCACGAGTGTTTGGGCCATCATTCACTCCCTTTTCAGGCAAATTGGTTGCCAAATGGATTCAAAGTGGGATTGATCCATAACTTTGTTGTGGGCTGTAGCTGCCTAAGCCAAGGATTAACTTATGATGCCAGCCCAGGAGGTTTTGTTTTGTTTTGTTTTGTTTTTAACATTTTGTGCATTGACTCAATATTTAATGTGTGCAATAGTCAAAAATCATCCCAGAAGAAAATAACCACTGGAACAAAATTAGATGTGCTCATTGATTTATTTATATGTGAGTGTATATATATATATAAAATGTGTGTGTGCATAATTATCATTTCTTACATCTTCTTTGTTTCAAGTTCATTTCATATAAAATCAGAGGTGAAATGATTAGAGAGCAAAATACTTTTTTTTTTTGTAACAATAGGAATAATTTGAGTCCAAGTGCAGTGGGCCATGAGGTTTGCATGATGGAATTTGAGAAGCAATGTTTGGTAGAAGAAGGGGACTTGCAGTCCTATTGGTTTGCTTCTGACCCTGGCCTTTGGTGGGGGACCTCTCATAACTCCTGTGATGTCTGTGATCCTAATTACAGGAGAGTTCTTGTGAGGAACACAGACTCCATTTTGGGGATGAACTCTAGCTGTAGAAGGGCTGAAAGGCAGCTTGATTTTTTTTTTTTTCCTTCCAAGGACCTTCAAGCAAGGTTATTTCTCACATGTATTTATATGTTACCAAGAATTCTTTCTATACAGAGTTTGTAGAATATGTAGAAATGAGGGTAAGGAATTGACTGGCTTATAACATATTAACCATGCTTTTGACTATGAATTTGGAATTTGTGTTATTACCTTGTAAAACCAAACACTGCATCTAGAAAGTAAAAATAAACCTGGAAATGTAGGTCTGCTTTGGAAGGCAGAATGAGATATAATAAAAAAACTTACCTGTTTAAAAAGCCAAAGCCCTTTCCTAATTTCCATTAGATATGGATTAATCAGATTCCTCCTACTTCGGCTGTGATAATAGTCGATAATCATTGGAAAGCTTTGCCAGCTCTCAGTCCTCTGTGAAGCACAGGAATTAGAAGTAAGGAGAGTTACAAGGGAATATACTCAGGAAAGGTAAAGAGGAGAGAGATCTTCAATAATCAAAAAGACCTTCAGAATGTAGTGCAGGTCTGACTCCTTTGAAGGGATGGGATGTTGGGGTAGGAAGAGCCTCAGGTTTCATTCAGTTCTGAGAAAGTCTGTGGTTCTGATGGTGGGGACCCAGAGAAAAGACTACCTGTCAGAGGGATCCCACTCAGGAGAGGGAGCCCTTCACGTTTCCCAGCTGTGCTCAATCCTTGGCTACAGGCCCTGTGCAGGAAGCTTCTGTTGCAATTCTGAGCAGAGAAGCCGTCAGCTAGCTACCTGCCATCTTTTAAACAGGCTGATGTAAGTATAATGTCCCCAAGGCCACCACAAAGTTTGTGTAGGGTACAGTTTAATGTAACAAACTTTTAATGGTTGCAATTTCAAAAATAAGCACCATGCAAGATCCTTTGGAGATATTGAGGGCATTTATTTATTCACTCAAACATACCTTCAAAAGATATTTGTTGATGGTCTGCCATATCCTAAGCACTATTCTGCGTGTGGAATAGCATCTTAATTCCATTTACAGGCAATTGTTGAAATGTGAGTCTTCTTTCAGGATGAAAACATTTACTCGCTGTTTGCTAGACTATTGTAAAACTCTTTGCTTAGAATACCATACACATAAAGTGTCCCACATGCTTTCTTTTTTATGTTCTAGGAAATAAAATAAAATTATTTGCTTTACTTTGGTTTTCTTTAATGGGTATAAAATTTAAAGATCAAAGGCATGGAAATTAAATACTGCAAAAGATCCTCACTAGGTGAAAATGGAACTAGTTAATCTTATTTAGTGTCATGTTGTAATAACTCCAAACTTAACATAATTTAGCCTTCTTCCAGGAGTGCAGTTTCTCTGTACTCGTGTTGTCTGTGGAGAGGATATGTAAAAGTATGAAAATGCTGCAGTGTTGCTGGGCTGTGAGAAATGCCAAATTTGCTGATAAATTTCTTCTCTAATGTGATACCCAGGCTTAAGCTAAAATGAGAGGATGGAGAGTACCATATTTCCACTTATTTTAACATTCTAGGATTCTCTAGTTTATTAAGCATTTCTTCTCTGAATAGCAGCTTCTGTTTAATACCTACCATAGTTGCTTCTGCATGTGTCTTGATGTTATTATTTTTCATCTCCTTTTCATTTGGGCTGACATTGATGCTGTTAGTTTTGCTTCAGCGAAGCTGCCTTTACCCCATAGCTATGGCTGCATGCATCATTAGTACAGCATGTAGTGATTTTAATGTTATTTCTAAACTGCCCTCACCTCTTGCTATTATTTTAATTTAGGACCAACTGTTCAGCCATATGGAGTAGTTTGTCATTCAACATCTGTATGTTCTTGCAAAATATGAGTTTGTCTGTGTGCATTACACCTTCAAATGTGCTATATTTCATATGGAAAATACAAATCTTATTTTATTAATGCTGTCATTTGACTAAATCATTTATTTTTTTTCCTTTGGAAAGCTTAATGTTGAGTAAGGATGC